TTGAACTTCCATGAGTCGTCGCCGTGGTGTCGAGAGGCAAATGTCAAGGTCGCGTGGTTCAAAGCTGCCTTGCTGGCCCCATACTCAAGGTAGTCGCGCTTGGGTCCCAGGCTTGGATCCGATCGAACCGCGAGGCTTCCGAGCCCCGAGCTGATGAACACGACACGTCGAGTCTTTGAAGACTTTTCCAAGAGCGGTGTGAAAGCGTCTGTAACCTCGACTGCTCCAAAGAGATTTGTGTCAAAGACCTCTCGAAGTCGTTGACGGAGGTTGCCTTCAGTTTTGCCGCGATTGATTCCAGCATTATTGACGATAACGTCGATGTAACCGAATTTCTTTTGCACTTGCTCTACAGCAGCTGCTATGCTCTCGTCGGAAGTGACATCAAGGACCAATGGCTCGACATCCAAGCCGGCCGATTGAAGTTCTGCGGCAGACTTCTCAATGGCGTCTTTTCGTCGGCCGGTCATGTAAACGTGATAGTCTGGGTTTTCTGACGCCAATCGCTTGACGATCTCATAGCCGATGCCTTGATTTGCCCCTGTGACGAGCGCGATGGTCTTGTTTGTGGTCCTGTTAGACATTTCGGCAAATATTATCCGTACGGACACTGGCTTGTGTAAGTGCAGGAAGGAGTGAGTCGGAGTGGTTAGTAGCGTACAAACGGAAGACGCGTCGAGTTCTTATGCTAGGCATCTGATGCACTGCAAGCTTTGGTCTGGGAACATCAGATGAGTCCCTTTCGTAGCTCAAACGCGTCGCGAGGTATCCGATTCGGCACCGCATCTCAGACCGAGGCGACAAGCTCCAGATCAGATCCGTATTCGCGGCCATGTTAGGCTATTGTTAAAGCTTGCATGGAAAATGTCGAAGCTTCAAAGAGCTTGTATCCTTGTCGCAGCATTGCAGAAGCCACGGCTTTTCGTCTCATGTTTGCTCGGCCCGTGTACGGACACCGGAGGTGCGGAAAACGTTGATCGCCCGGTGAAACTATGTCCACGTGCTCCAGTGTTTCGGTCTCGCAATGGATATAAGATCGAGCGGATGGCCCATATCTCCTGTCGTTGCTGTGAAATGCCATGTTTAGTCAACATGGCTTCAGCAAACCGCAGTTTACATCGATGATTATTCATGCCCTATGAAGATGTGGTACACTCGAATGCGGAATGGAAAACGACACTGGGAAGTCCTGCAGAGAACACGCATTAAGAAATCAATACAAATAAGGTTCACAGGGCTTCAGGACCTCATCAGCGCAGACTAGTCGGCAATTGAGCGCCAACCACTGGCGTTTGCAAAAGTGCACATTGACAATCCATCAGAGATGGAGCTCAGATTTGCAAAAGAAGTGGGCCCTAACCAGGGATCGAACCTGGGACCTCTCCCAGAAGTGGATTATCAGAGACAACCCTAAGGGAGAATCATACCGCTAGACCATCAGGGCTGATTAAGCGAGAACCGCTGATTGTTGTGTGTGGGCCGCAGAGCACAAGTTCATCAAGCCAGCTCGCACCGCCCGGAGTATTTTCGTAAAGTGGGAGCATGAGCTGGGCCCGAGGGGGGAAATTGAATGTTGCGCATAGTCGTTCTGTAAGCAATATGGAAATCGGATTCGAGATCAACGGAGTGGGACTTAGTGTTAATTACATGCAGGTACTCAGCTCTATATACAAATGAGGTGCTAATGTGCCGGGTCGCGATGAACCATCAGCTCCAGTCTATTTGATATAATCCTTGCCCAGTGCCCATTTCGACTTGTCATAACTCTTGGGCCAGACACCACTCTTGCCTGGTGCCAGGATACCGTTGGGATCCAACGCGTCCTTGATGGTCTGGTTCAGTTTGCCCAGCGCATGATCGTTGAAGTCGTAGGTGTCCGCGATCTGATCCATCAGGGCAACGTGAGTTCGGAACTCGCCCCAGCCGTTGTCCGCACAGTCCTGGATCATGGTACGGACGAGCCACTGCGCACGGCGACGTGCGTCGGGATCCTCCCGGTTGTAGACGATGCATACAATGTTGTCTGTGCGGCCACGTGTAAGCAGTCACCATCTCAATGCCGGCTCGAGCCGGGGAACCCGTTGGAGAAACTTACGCATCTCTCGCATTCCGATGCTGAGGATACCGAAGTAGTCCATCTTGGCCTCGGCGAAGCGCTTCTTGGCCATCTCGTATTGCTTCTGCGCCGACTTGCCATCGACCTTGGAGATTGGGGAAAAGGACAAGAAGGTGCAGTTGGGAATCCAGCTACGCTCGCTGTCAGATAGAACGTCTCATGGGTTGTGGTTACGACTTACTGGTTCAACCACCTCAACTCATCCCACGTTGGGATACCCTGCATGGTGTCTGAACGACAGTGAAGAGTGCTGAACTCTTCCTTGCGGTCCTCAAGCAAGAACCATCGGCTGCCCGGCACCTTGGTCATCTCCCTCTTTGTGATCTCAAGATGTGCTTTGCGGATGGGCTCGGGTCCGTAAGCAGCGCCGATGTAGACCCACCGTCCCAAGTTGACCTTCTTAGCTGCCGCATCAAGCTGCTCCTCAGTGAGGGGAACGTCAAGTCCTGCGTCCGTGTACTCTGTGCGGGGATGGTAGTGGGCAGCATCGAGCGCAATGTGACGCAGACTGGCAGCATTCTGAAGGACCATGTTCTAGAAATATTCGTTAGCGAGCCCCATTGAGCAGGACCTAAGGTCCAACTACTTACCACGCGCAGGGGGCGGATGATGTCGACCACCGCCGCAAGATCCTCATCCTTCTCATAGGTGACCATGAATGGAGTGAAACCCGGTGCTGCAGGCATGAGCCACATGCCCATCTTGGTGATAATTCCATTGTTGCTCTGAGAGAAGATGCCGTCATTGATGGGGCCAAATCCATAGGGGAACAGCTGCCAGCACTCGTTTTGATGCTGGTCTTGGGGAGGAACGCCCTTCGCAGCTTGAGCACGGCCTTCTGGGCTCTGCATGGCGCCCATACCAGTGCGAACAACCTCGCCGTTGGCAAGAACAATCTCCATGCCGCAATGCATCATCCAATGGTCTCCGTAAGGTGTGAAGCCCACTCCATGATCTAACGCGTTTCCGATCATAGATCCGTAGCCGAGCTCAGGAGAATCCAGCCAGACCTTGTCGGCAAGTCCGTTGTCGTTGAGATACTTCTGCATTTGAAGGTATGTCACGCCAGGCTCGACGAGGCAGTAGCAATCCTCGGCATTAACCTCGAGGATACGGTTCAAGTGTGTGCCAAGGTTCATGACCAAACTACCAGATACTCTTGGGGCGGCACCACCGTAGCCAACATTGTGGCCTCTGCTGAAGGTCCACACGGGCACGAGAAAGTCGTTGCAGAGCTTGACGATAGCTTGAATATCGGTGACATTCTTGGGGTGGATGAGAGCGCTGCCAACGAATTCCTCCCGCTCATAGAGGTGGTGCATGTCGTGAGTCAAACAGTCGACAGTGAGGTAATCGCCATCGTCCAGCACAGTATCATTGCTGATGATCTGGAGGTTCTCCTTTCCGACAGTCTGCAGCAGTTGGGAGGCGAACTCTTGGAACTTCTCGACGGAGACACCAGGTGGGAGGAATCTGGGGACTGGAACGGCCCCGCTGGAGCCATTCGTGTCCTTGACTGTGCTGGTTAGACCAGGCGCCATGTTGTGATATCAGTGGTAGTGTGATGGAAAGATTCTTAAGACAAGTCTGAGAGATCTAAGGAGTAGAAACTCTTTGAGGTGAGTCAAGGATGATTTTGGTGGATGATCGATACGCGCTAGGAGTAGAAGGGATGTAGCTCTTTTATTACTTGAAAGAACCAAAATGGGCCTCTTAGGAGCTCTAAAGCTATGGAGCTCAGGATGAGCTCATGACGGAGACCGCACGATTGCGGACGTTCGGGCTCCCGAAGCCGCCGCCGGCGATGTTCCAGAAACAGATGTGAACAGTTCATCGAACATGACTTGATTGAAGTTACATGATCCACGTGAAGGAGGTCCGATCCCTGAGGATCCAGTTCGACCCAAATTACTGAATTCGGGGGACGATATACGTATCGAACTCTGCCGAGTCCGTTGGGAATATCCGAACCTGAATCCCTACGGCCTTAAGGGTGTGATCTCGACACCACCGCCAGTTGGCGGTGGTGCATACCCGAAGCCTTATGGAACACTTTAAGGAGTTCAAGCTTTTCGAAAATGTTTGTTGTTCTTGTTCCATCTGATGTCAAAGCCGCTCGAGAGTTGCATATTCCTTCCGTCTTTGGAGGCTGAGGGAGCCCGGCTGCGGTGGGATTCGTAGAAATGACTTGGGTACACCGTCATCCGGTGGGTGTAAATGGCCGTGCCGGACGGGCTTACACGAATATTCGTACCCGTATATGTTTCGATTACGAAGTAAATGCCACTCCATCATGAAATAGTGTTTCGCCTGATCTAAGCACGTCACCATAGCAGGGCATCCCATGTCTGTTCCAGATGTCCATCTACGTGATTCAGCCTCTAGCATCACGCTTAACTGGACTTGACAGCAAGAAAGGGCTGAGTTTCCTTGATCAAACAGCCAAATTCTGCCCTTTCAGCCGGTCGAACGTAGGCATACCCATGCAACCGGAAGAGCAGTGCCCAGGATGTTGCCGTGTCGTAGTGACGTTTTCGCAATCTGGCACCGGACATGGCCAGAGTCTGGCTCCTGAGTCCTGCGATTTCTCATCACGCGAGGAACGCGAGTGTATCTCGCGGCCAATGTTGCCGAAGTCGCGATAGTCGCCGTACGAATTTCCCTGTCTGTCAACGCCTGAAAGCCGACAGACATGGAATGTGACGTCCGCAGGATATCTCCGTGTCATTGAAGAGCGACTCTCTCGAAATGGAATGTTGATCGCCTAGGTTATAAAGACAACCTCGTGCTGCACATCATTTCGTCCGAGAGCAACTGAAACCCTACCCACCGCCCACCTAAATATTTTGACTCTCGCATATTAACTTCTGTTGATCTTTTGACAATGGCACCAACTGCAATCCTCAACACCACTAGCGATAGCCTTCAGTCACCGCTGAAAGCTCGTCCCTCAGCTGTCACCGAAGGCACTATTCCTATTGACCCTCCCCTAAACCCTAAGCACAGGTGGTGGTGGGATAGATGCGCGCCGCTGTTGAACACTCTGCTCACGAACGCTGAGGGGTACACACCTGAGGAGAAGGTGGACCACCTGCGCGTCTTCCGTGACGTGGTGGTGCCCTCCTTTGGCCTCCCGACACCCAAAGCCAAGGTTCGACCTCTGCTCACTTACGACGGTTCTACGTTCGAACCATCGTGGAACTTCACGAAAGGCGATGACGGAGTGATCCGCTACACCTTCGAGCCTCTTGGCGATTCCGCCGGTTCGGATGAGGATCCTTTTGCTGGGGAGATTGGCGCTGCCATGATCCCGATACTCTCGCAGGTGTCATCTGGAGTCGACATGCGCTGGTACGAGCAGATTTTGAGAAGATGGTTCGTCACACCTGAAGAGGCCGCTGTTGCTCGGTCGAGGATGCCGGCTTTTGTCAAGCGCGTCCCACAACTTTTCCTCGCCTACGATATGAAGCGCTCGCAGCGATTCCTGAAGGCCTACTTCTTCCCCGTCCTCAAGCACTTCGCCCTCAATGTTACAACAGAAAAGCTGGTCTTTGATATGATTCGCGACCTGCAGCCCTGCGGCGACAAGCTTTACAAGGCATCCGAGAAGCTCCAGAAGTACCTTGCCACATGCAAAGAGCCTTGCCCGGTGGAGATGATGGCGATTGACTGCGTCGACCCCCACAAGGCCCGAGTTAAAGTATATGCCCGCACAACATCGAACTCAAAGGCGGTTCTTGCAGACGTCCTTACCCTTGGCGGAACCCAGACCGACGACGCAACAATGAAGGGCGTCGAATACGCAGAGAAGGTCTGGCACCTGCTTCTCGATGAGCCGGAAGGCATGGCCGCGAACCAGAGAAAGGATGCCAGAGACATGCACAACTTGCACAAGGGCATCTGCTTCGCGTTCGAGCTGAAGCAAAATGAAGAGCGGATTGACATCAAGGCTCACTTGCCATGGGGTCAGACGTCACGGAGCGATGCACAGACGATTGAGAACTTCACGCAGGCCCTGCAGAATGTAGGATGGGACGAGTCTGCAGAAAAGTTTTCCAGAGGCGCCCACGAAACTGCCAAGCTGTGAGTAGAAACCTTCGACTCAATGCTGTATACAGTGACTAACTGAAGCTCATAGGCCCGGCCGAGATTACTCCAAGCCCGGAGGATTGTCATACGTATCATACAACTACGGCACCAAGGGTCTCTACATGTCCTCGTATTTCTCTCCAAAGGTTCAAGATAACTGAACATGCGACCAACGACACCTTTACGATGGCAAGATTTCATTGGAAGAATGGGGCGTTCTGCAAGATGGGGTTTCGTGCAAGGTTGCTTTTGGTACACGGCAGGCATGGGCGCAAGAGCACCCAACTTACCAGGATAGCCGCCACAGGAGCGATGAGGTCTACGTGGTTGAATTATCTAGTTACTTACGTTATTGAACATGTGTTGTTGATCTCGAAGCTTGATTGGTGATTGTGATCGCTGCTTTCATCCGACGTTGAGTGAGAACTTGAATTAGCCAGACGATTATTACCCGTCAAGAGCAGTCTCTCAGTACCCAAAGAGTCGCCAGTGAATTTTGACATGAACCTGAGTCAATGGGCGGAATGTAGACTCCTGTAGCATGCAATGCTGCGAGACCCTTCCGCATCTCGATCGCGTCTCGATCGATCACCTAGACAGAGGTTTACGCTCGTAGCACCGGTCGGGCAAATGATACCGGCGTGGCTGAGGTCTTCATGCTTCACCAATCCGTCGCACTCGCGTTCAAAACTCGGTCCGTAAGTGCGAAGTCCTGTCCGTTGAGATGTCGCGGTATTGCGGACCGGGGAAAGGACCCGGGGCCGCTCAGGAGTAGAGCCGGACGTATGCCGAAGATTCTGAGACACACGAGTAATAATACGCCGTGAAACTTTTCGTGCGGCCGTCTTTTCATGATTATGATGACCGCCTCAAGCGGACCTCAAATCCTGCGAGTAGCCGTGACTGCCGGTTGTGCGGACTCTCCCGTTAAGACGTACCGCCGGGCGGGAAGATGCGAAAGCGGTAAGCTGAGGATACCAGGTCGTGTCAATGCCAGTGTCGCAAGTTGCGAACTCTTGGAGAATACGAGAGGCTATTGGAACGTTATGAACACTTGTCTTCCATTTTCCAGGCCACCAAGATGTCTGTCCCCTTCACTCGGGACCATTTGAAACATCGCTGCGGACGTCCTGTACATCTCCCCAACCAACCCCGGCTTTGTCCGTGACAATGTTTCGAAGCATCGGACACCTGGAAAGGGTAACCAGTTGTCCCTTGCCTTCCACCTGCAGCCTGACAGACGTCATGCTCACATGCTGCATTGTCCGTGTTCTGCTTCGCAGTATTCTCCGGCAGGGACCCGAGCTTCTGCCACATTCCACATTCCTTCTATAGGGCGATTTCCGAGCTACCTTGGTTCGTCCGAAGTTTTGAAATATGCTTGAAACCTTTCTTTCGGTGGTTTCTCTCTCAATTGGCAGGACTTGCTCTGACCGAGAAACATCACGGAGAAGCTAAGACCCTCTGTTCGCAATGGCGCAAGTGCTGGTGCCGCCAGGCCGGGCCGGAACCGCGGATAGCATCCTTCCAGAAGATCACCATTTCAGGTAGCCCCACTGCATTTGACAGATGATTACGACTGCGGTAAGCATGATTTTGACGTCGATAGCTGAGCTGAGCGCCGGCGGCTCGGGGAGGCCCCCCTAGAACGGGCATGGAGTGTTGCTCTCGACCGAAGACCGCCGGTCCGTAGGATCATGCCATGCCCCTGTGCGATCGTTTTCGGACATGTCCATTTTGTGCCTTGCATCACGATGGACTTGTCGTGAGTAAGTGAGCAGAAATTAGCCTGAGGGAGAATACCGAGACGTCTTTCAATACTATATAATCAAGCTTCTCACCCTTCAAATGCCAGAGAAACTTTCAATTCATCATCACAACATCACGACCAATCATCAACAAGAGAATACAAAGGCCGTCCAACATTTCGTCGTAACACCCAACCACACTATCAATATACTTTTATCGACCACACTTACACAAACACAACATGTCTGGAGTCACCGAGCGCAAGATCATTCCCGTCAAGGGCGGTGTCGATGATTGGAAGGAGCCCCTGAAGGCATACCTCCTTGCTCTGAAGACCCATGATGGCTACCTCCGCACTCGTTGGGGACCCTGGAGCGAGAACGAGCAGTACCTCGATGTCATCTCTGGTAAGTCAAATACTCTAGCGAAGCACTTAGTCTTATGGAATACAAGGGGGTTAACGTGCATGAACAGGCTGGAAGACGAGAGAAGCTCGTGATGAGTTCTTTGCCTCCGCCGAGGGCAAGTCGGCCATGGACAACTTCAAGACTGTCATCAACGGCGAGGTCAAGTCATACTTCATCAAGTTTGTTCCCTACGCACCGAGAGGCGCCATTGACTCCCCGATTGCCGAGGTCATTACAATCAGCGGCTCGTCAATGTCTGAGGATGAGATGAGAGCTCAGATCGACAAGGCCCGCGGCATGCCTGGAATGAATGACCTCGCCAGTGGTATGTCGGTCGAGGATGTCGACGGTGGCAAGGTGTTTGTCGCGGCTTTGGGATGGGAGAGCGTCGAGAAGAGTAAGGCCGCTGACAAGTCTGCCTACGTGCCTGCTTCTGGAAAGACAGAGGTTCACCACGTCAACTTCCACTACCCCATCAAGGGCTTCTCTGTTACCAACACCCACTAGATTGCATGGTTGAGCAAAGTTTCTGGGGATCATGAGACGGGTTGCTGGTCAATAGCGGTAGTCTGATATCTTGGAATTCAATTCATTACATAACCACGTGTTCAGTGAATAATGTCTAATTAAACTCGACGAACAACTTTATGGAACTGCAATGACCTTCTGGTTGCAAGCTGTCATTGAGGTTGTCACACAAAGTAAATGTCTTGGCACCTCCCCCGACACCAGTGACATGTCATTGGCACCAAGGTTATCTATCCACCAAATGCTCTTGGTACTCCAATTAACACTCTAATGAACACCTCCGCGCGTCCGTGTCAAAAATTCAAGCAAGCCGACGGAGCCGAAAAGATCGGACGGCCTGAGACAAACGCGCGTTTTTGGTGTGCTTCACATTACGGCAATATCGAACTGCCCCAACGGACCGCAACTTGAGATGGAAATGTGACGTTCACAAACAAAGTTCCGCTCGGACTCGGGACGGAGGGATGCAGTCCCCAAACCGGGAGTCCGACCCCTGTTTATACAAACACGACATCGACAACCAAGCAAAGATGAGATATAATCACGGCATGTAAAACTGCAGGAGTCTTTCAAATACGGTGAAACGTAATCGCGTACTCGGGATAGAGCGTCCTGGGGGCCAACATCAGTAAGGTAACCTGGTGGCAGTAGCATTTGTAAGCTGGTCGAGCAATTTATGTAGTTCTCATAAATAGACCCTCGCAGTCTTTGGCCTACCTAGTTATCGATGTGAAGCACACCTTTTATCACAATCCCAAGACATCATACATCAAAAATGGCACCAAAAATCCAGAAAGTAGCAATCGCTGGCGTAAGTTCAACTCCCAAGACTCATGGGCATACTTATCTAACTGCAGCTTAGGCAACCGGCAACGTCGGTAGCCACGTTCTCAAAGCATTGGTGAAGGATGGATTCCAAGTCACCGTTCTCACACGCAAGCAAGGGTCGTTTCCAGATGGAGTCACGGTCAAGGTTGTTGACTACGCCTCACATGACACCCTCACAGACGCCTTGAAGGGTAATGAGGCTTTCGTCGATTGCACTCTTGTCCAGGACGATACCCCTACTCGCATGATGGACGCTGCCGCTGCAGCTGGAATCTATCGGTATATCCCTTCAGATTTTAGCTTGGATTTCAACAACCCCAAGCCCCACACTCTGCCCATTTGGTTCAAGAAGGATGCGAACGACAAGTACCTCCTTAAGAGGTGCGAAGAGACCAGCATGACCTGGAGCATTGTTTGCAACGGCGCCTTTTTGGACTTCTGTCTACGCACTGGTTTCTTGAACATTGACATTCACAAAAAGAAAATTGACTACATGAATGAAGGGAACAACGTCATTGCGTGGACCACCCTCGAAACTGTCGGTAAAGCAGTGTCTGGAACCCTGTCACACCCGGCTGAAACGGAGAACCGCCCTGTATATGTTCACTCTGTTTACAAGAGCCAGAGGCAGATGGCAGATCTTTGCAAGGAGGCTCTGGGGTCTGACGGATGGGAGGAGACGAAGTCGGACATGGAGGAGAAGTTCGCTTGGGCGATGAAGGAGATCCAGGCTGGAAACTTTAACCTGGGCGTGCTGGCAAGTATGATTCAGTATGCAAACTCCAGGGCGGACTTTTCTTCGCCTTGGCCGCAGGATGACAATGCACTGTTGGGCGTTAAGGAACTTTCAGACGGGGAAATCAAGGAGTTGATCAAGAGTCTCTAGCTAGATTACAAATCACCAAGTAACTGGCTGCGCAGACCGAGTCAATTTCAGCCAAAATGCATCCTAAACCCTTACCCTTTCTTCCAGCAGCTTAATCGACAACGTACATACTTATCGTTCTGAGTGAACATAGAATTTCACACCAGGAGTAGTCATAGTCTATGGCTTTGGAAACTCGAAACTAGACACATAATATCGCAAGAAACCTCGCTAGTCACTTGGAAACCCATAATGTAATATGCGAACTGTTGTTCAAATACTGGAAACTATTCTCAATAAGAACAGCCTCACCTAGTTGTTCGTGTGAACAAGAAAATACTGACTGGCAATATGAGAACAAAGATGCTTTTAACTGGTTCATATTTGGAAGCGGCTTACCAGAACTATGAGCTGAAGCAAGTGCTTCGAAGCTCACTGCTGTACTTCTTTTCCCCTGAAATCAGCCAAATAATAGGCGTTCACCTAGCTAGATTGGCCGTGGCTTTGATTACTTTACGAGATGTCAAAGGCAAAGACCAGTACCATACCAATTATCACTAAATTACTTCCAACTTGAGTGACGGGATACTTTCATCATCTAGTGAGGTATCATATTGTTTTCGTTCCGCCGCTCCTCGTCGTTAGGCAATTCACGACAATCAACGAGGGATGATTTCACACGTGCAAATTTCACGTTCTGAAACATATCTGTACGGTTCGCTGACCACATCACTGGGTCAGTAGCAGACTTAAAATATTCCATTGTACTGCGCTCGACCTTCTTGCCACCTTCCTCATTTGTTATTTGGAACGTTGATGGTGTGCATGGGTAACCTGCAAAGTGCCGCTTCTGGTGTAGGCAGATACCGCATACAATTCTAGAGGATGCATGGTTAGTCTTCTTTAAGTTGGGTCATCTTTCAGTTATCTTGAAGGCATGAACGTGTCCGGAGCCGAAGCAGAACTAGGCCTTGGAAACGCTAATTAGTTGAAGCTATGGGTTAGCCGAGAGTTGCCATATGTGGTTGCGTAATGCGAGAGGAAAGCCCACTACATAACGAGAAAATACCACAGGTTGATCGAAATATGAAATTTTATAAAGGATACCCAGATCGTAATAACTCGCAGAGCCAAGAGTTCTACACTTTTAAAGATTTTAACACAATCTCTTGACGAGCCACGGGAAGACCTGTAACCTACTTGTCAACTCAGATCGTTTCTTGCGTTAGTTTGTTGGACACATTAACACCTTTTCCAATGAATACAATAGACGCTTGCATAAGGAGAAAACATTCCAAGACTTGTGTCGTTCTTCCATTACACGTCGATCTGAAGATGCCGATACCCTTGAGCTCATCGAGAAGACAGCATACCCACATCATGATCATGCCGACAAATGTCCTTGCCATGCCGCTGCATTTCATGACTCACGTTACCATCGTCATTACTATAGTAAAGTCCTCTGAATGAACAAGCAACGGGCTATTCTCTATAGGCTCGCATAGTCAGGATGCATGCTGGCAGCGCGTCGTGCCAGGAGTGCCAGAAAGTTTAAGCTGCGCCCGAAGCATTTCTAACCTCACCTTTTCCGTCTCTATGCGGCCTTTTCCGTGGCCAGCATATATGTTCCTTCAGATTTCTCATCTCGCTCTCATTATTCGTCTTGGTTCATTGTTCCGCAAAACCTCTCTCGGCAACGAACAACTAGTTGATGCGATTTCAGTTCTCACATCTATCCTACTCAGAGTCCAGTCTCATAGTTCAAAGACGGTGGCTTACCATTCTAGACCTCCGTGCCTAAATATTTTGCCGGTCGGCACACAACAAGGTTTCTCGACGGCGATGCAGAGAGGAACTCTACTTTGCCGTTGGTGACATCCCCTCGGGCAACGACCCGGCAAGACGGGTAGCTCCACAGCCGGCAGATTGTGGCCCGGAGACCGGCTCTTGAGCTTCAACTACGTCACGGACGTAACAAGAATACTCCGATAGAAAACATTCCAGACAGTTGAGGTTCATGCGCTATAACTGCATCTCAAAGACCATATGCTGCGACAGGTTGAGATATTTGAAGTCTTGCTCTATCATGGAGGTTAAGAGTGGCAAATCACATCTACCGAACGTGTCTTCGATATTTCACGGAGTCACAGGGTGGCCATACGGAGATGTCCAGTCTCGAATTGGACTTGAAGATTCCATCTGGACAGTTTGAAGTTTGGGAAAATGACCGAGAGCGAGCGAGTCTACCGCATTTCATGCCAAGATGCAGGTTATCTTCTTTGAAACCTGTGAATACAGTCGGGCGTTCATTATCCACAGGTAAAGACCTCACGAGCAGAGACTAAGGCCCAGTTCGTAGCAGGATCTACATGCGTACGTCAGTCTCTCGAAGACAGCCAGCTTTATCAGCGCACAGGTGATTGCCGGTTCGAACTGCACGATCTCAGCCTCCACTTCTAGAAGACTTCAAACACGTTCGCCGTCTGAACTAGAAGTGTTCGGCCAAGATAGTCTGCCCCGGGTATCCCCTTCGTCCTCCTCCAATCACTCGTGCTGATTCTGCCACAAGGCAGACGACCCTCCACGAATCCTGCGAACCAACATCAAGGAAACGGCAAAATGGTCGACCTTCCCTATTGGTTTAGAGTTCATGCAGCGTCGCAGCAAAGTCAAGTGTGGCAGAAATCTGATTCGCAGGGCGACCTCTCGTCCTCACTCTGGGTTTCGCTATGCAGGCGAGTCAGTTCATACGCGCTCCCCAACCCGCGATCCTCCCAGTCTCAAACGCCGAGGCGCAAATCGTAAGCCTCTCTGAGGAGATTTATACTTTTCCCCGTGAGGTGGTTCCCGAACCTTAATCGCACCGGCGCTCAGACTCCTGCAGATGCCAATCAGTCGTCTTAAGTAGGTGGCCATGGAAACATTCCATTTGGCCACTGCAACGGCCTGCTTTGCGCCATCGCATCTTCCATCCCGTCTCCCGCTGACAACCCCGATCGCCGTTGTTCATTCCATGATGCCGTCCAAGCGAATCGAACGAACGGCGCTGGCGACCCTTCGAGTCCGAGTACTGTACTGAGCGACAGAGAAGAGAATGGCGGGCGAGACGGGGACCATCTCGGTCTCGCAGGTCCAGGCGATGGTGATGATCGCCTTCGCCGCGACAGCGTACTACAACACCATCGAAACATTCTTCTCCATCTTCACGACCTTCAAGCGGCGACGGGGACGGTACTTTTGGAGCATGATCGTCAGTAACACGGGGATCAACATCAACGTCATCGCCTTCGTCCTGCGATACTTTGGATACTACCACGGAGCCATCGTGGCGTCGAGCTTCATCATCCCGATCGCATGGTACTCTATGGTAACGGGGCAGGCCATCGTCCTCTGGTCCCGACTTCACCTGGTGGTTCACAGCCAGCGCAAGATCCGCATGATTCTCGTCATGATTATATTCAACGCGGTCACGATGCATGTCCCTGAGACGGTCATTTTCTTCCTGGCGAATTTCGAACACCCAGCGAAATGGTCAATGCCCTTCAAGATCTACGAGAAGGTGGAGTTGGTCGTCTTCACGATACAGGAGACCATCATCGCCGGCTTTTTTCTCTACGAAGGCTACTACAGCCTAAAACCTCTGAGCGCGATCAAACCAAAGGCGGTCGCAAACATGGTGCGCCATCTTGCGGGTCTCTTCGCCGCCGTATTCCTCCTCGACATAGGCCTGATCGTACTCGAGTACAACGACAAGTTTGAGATCCAGACGATGTGTAAGCCATTCGTGTACAGCGTCAAGCTCAAAGTCGAGTTCGTCGTGCTCAACAAGCTATTATCATTCACCAGAATGAGCACCTGCAACTGCCGAGGGCCGGAAAGCCTTCCTTCGGTGACATTACCCGATAGCCACAAGCGCACCATGGTCGGCCAGGGCGCCGTTTTGGTGGCGCTGCCAGATATCGAGCAGACAGGAGGGTCTTTATCACCGTTGAGACGTACATTCACCGACCACATCTACGATGGGCGCCAGGCCGCCGGTACTCCTGTACGAAGAAACTCGAAAAAGAGTCAGCTGTCAATAAGGCAGAGAGAGGTGACCGATGACGAGGCGCCTCTGAACGAAAAGAGCACGACGAGCAATGGATGAAAAGGCAGGCACAGAGCTCAACACTAGACCTTTTGCGCATTCCGATTCAGCAGCAACGTGTCTTGCCCGGGATCTGAGGCAGCCAAATGACTGAGTCCTACATTGGCTCATGCTCGAAGGTGAGTGGTAATACTGGTCGACAGTAAGTATATTACCCTACTTACACACCACCTTCTAGGCCCAGTATACCTACGTCAACATCTGGCAGGTGCCCGAACGAGGCAAAGGGAAATTCGCGCTATCTCAACACCAGCTATAGTGCAAATTGCGCTTCGATTGAGAAGGGAGCATGGGAATTATCACGGAGATGCGAACAGCGGTCGGTAACAACGAGATGCTGCTCGTAGTGAAAGCAATCGGCCAAGTACGGTTGCGAACAGTTTCGAGAGACTATGCTATCGTACAAAGCAGGCTGCTGTTGAGCGACTGGACAAAATTCAGGATGTCCTCTACGAGACGAACACATGGAGGAAGACACTCATGGGAGGGATCACTATACCAAGGCCAGATTGAATCTGAAAGCCTACGAAAGATAGACAGCGTGTCAGCGTGATTGGATATCACTACTTAGACTAAATCAATAATGTTTACTCATCTCCGTGGCCAATGTGGGCAACGCATATCCGTATCGAGAGAATCGACTTCCGAAAGCGAGTGACTGAGGCCACCACATGTGCGGTTATTCAAAATTCGAGTTTGCAGCCGCCGGCCGATTCTGGGCCCCAAACCGGCATATGTCCGGTTTCCATGATCCGAGACCCCCGCAAGGGGTTAAGGTTTCTGTCGTACAAACTCTCTTCGCGCCTGCCGAGAGATCTGGGTATGTGCGTTTGAGCCACTGTAAGACTACGGCAGTTTCGCAGATTGGCGAGTGTACGGAAACAGTAGTGTACGCCATTTCTCTCGCGGAATTGTAGAACATGTAATTAATAGGCAACAAGTTATGCCATAAGAAGAAAGTATATGTAGATATTCGACGAAAAAGAATTTGGCCCGTCGGTGCTTCCCTTCGAGTCTCTTTTCATAGACTTTGAGATTCCTGCCAACCAAATCGGCTGCGCGGTGTCGCCATATCTGGGGACTTCAGCTGAGTTCGAATTTGAGTGTGCGGTCACCCAAGGTGGACCGATGGAGGAATGCATGGATGCCACCGCCGGTTCCGAAGAATCTTGAGAAGCGGCACATCCCCCGTACTGAATCGGCTTTGCGAACGACTCGGCTCGGCACAAGCAGAACGGGTGGCTGACTCGGCTTGTTGATCTTGACCTTCTTGAGCTGTTCTGACGAACTGTTAACTTCAAAAGAGGCATTCTAGCAGGTTTGTGAAGCGGGATGATGTCACTTCAGTATCTAGAGCCTCCTGCTGGCTGCGGGTAGGGCTGCGGATGGCCGGGTTGCTGAGTCGACTTTGAACTGTCATACTTTTATTACTACGTGTTCGTGGGCAACTGAGGCGCGCAGGGACACTTCTCAGATATCTTCTGACGATTCAAGAACATTGCCGCAACGTTTGTGAGCCTACGGAAAGTGACGTACGTCATAAGCTGAATATCGCATCGTTTCATTATGCATATAGACTACCTATGTGTACCAAATAACAGCCATTTGATAAGACCCAAGTTAAACTACAATGACCTTTGACCCAATACATGCACCCAGACAGATTTGTGTTGAGAGACTATTACATATTCAGACAAGCAAACGACCAACTCATCCCCCTCCACTGAACGTTTCACCTCCAGTCTTGAGATACTCTTTCTCCTCGGGCGTCGACTGCCGGTGCATAGCAAGGTTTCGGTGCGGATACCTCCCAAACTGGGCGATTATGTCTCGATGCTTCATCTCAAAGTCGTAATTGGTTTCAAGCAGGTCTCTCGCCGTCTCTTTCTGTACCGCCAAGACTCCCCAGCACTTCCTCTGATCGTCGTCTCCGGCGGCCCCGTCCCCAGCCATGAGCTCCTCAAAGTCATCCTTCATCTTTTGGTAATGCTCTACCGCCAAGTCATGCAGTGCGAGGTCTTCCGAGTGCATCAGCGGGAGATAGAACCACATGCGGTACGCTACCCGGTATTTTGTCCGGTTGTGCGTTGTCGCGCCAGCGTTGATGGCATGGTGAGCGATGTCGCGGGCGATGGGGTCGAAGAACTTGAAGACGACGGATGATTCAGCGCCACGATAGCAGTTGCGGGGGATCTGGTCCAGGAGCAGAACGAGGCTCAACCACTGGAGTGGCGTGATGGGCCTCACAATGGCGATGATGTCTCTCGAAGTCGCCCTCGATGACTTGAGGGCCTCCAGAGCCGGACGGAACTTCCTCCTATGAGATCCAGTCAGTTGCACGTGTTCGAGGACGCAGGTAAGTGGGCTGATACGAACACGCAGCTCTCGTCAAAGTTCTCGTCGGAGAAGAACCACCGCCCAAGCTGGTTCTTCTGCGGCAGGATGAACGCTTCTTCAGTATGCAGATGCTTGAACCAAAACCTCCGCAGCTTCTCCAGGAGCTCCGGCGTGATGACCTCCTTCAAGTGCGCTGTCGCGTGCGCTCTGCATGCCTTGGACCGGGGAAGGCCGCTCGTCAGCGTCATCTCGTCGGCGGAGTCGCGAGAATAGCCGGTGCTCTGGAAACCGCGTCTAGGCCGAATAGACAGTCCCGATGGCGAACGAGACCCTGCGCATACCACGCGAGGCCCACAACGACGCTGAACCGTCAAAGTCTGCCACGAACTCAACCGCAGCAACGGCAGTGTACGGTCGAAGCACCCCGCATTTCGCAGGCTCCGGCTGATCTGGTGAGGAGGCATGACAGCTACCGCGCCTCCTCCTTCCTCCTCACTCCCCCAACTTGAGAAGCGAGCTGTAATTCGACAAAGGGGGCGCGCGGCGGTGACCTGCGAATCGGCAAAGGGGTGGTGCCACTGGCTGCTCTGACGTCGTCCGATCTCTCGTTCTGGGTTTGTGCGGCCTGGGGTAAAAGGGAGCAGGAAACGTTCTGGGCACGCCTAAATGCGGGGTTTGTGCAGGCTGGGCGGCCCCTTGTGCAAGTAGGGGTCTCTCGCTTGAGGCCGCTAATGCAACGCGGCGTTGTGCTTGGGGTTAGCGGGATGGATGCGCACAACTTGGATTGGCTGGGGGTGGCTTGAGAACATCACTTGATCATGGCAAAAGGGATGGCGCTACGACTACGACGTGGCGGTGGAGGTTTGGAGAGAGAGACGGCCACGCGCTGGAATGTGGTGATGCAGATCAGAGATCGCCAGTCAGAGACACGATAGCCTGATATCGAGCCTAAACACTGGGCTGTTGTGTTAGGTCATCCTCCGTGGCTCATGTGTGGTGGCTCTGTGGCCGTTATTCGTGCGCCGCAAAGAGTCTAGTTTGGCTGGGTTTGTGGTTGAAACATAGCCAGCGCTTAGAGTGACATATAAACTGAATGCCAAGTTTAAGGGGGTTATGTCACCTCACACAACAGCCGTGGGAAATGAACCCGACGATGCGATGCCTTCGCGTTTCTTCCCTTCGTTTGGATACAGTCTCTGCAATTTCATATGCAGTGTAGCGGATCATAAACGCGATGTGAACTTGTGGAGAGAGTTCCGGCTTCCAGAAGACTTGGCTAGCATTTCTGTGGTATTCAGAACTGCCTAAATGCACAAGGTAGTGTGCCTCAATGCCGGAGTCGGTATTGATCCGTACCCCAGACAGAGCTGCAGTAGTCCGTCAATGGCGCCATCCAGTCGGCTTCTTGGGAATCTCGAGTCTCTTTCCTTGAAACCCGGCAGAAAGCGAAATTCCAAGATTCCTCCCGACCGATCAATGGCACTTGCGCATTCAGCCGGCGGTAAAAGGACCTTGGCCACTGCAACCCGAGCGAGCGCAACTTTGGTTCGCATCATCAATTCGAGATTTGTCCCGCCGCCTCCTGAGTTGACAGCGGGCCGCATGCTAGCTCGAGCATCCCGAGCCTTAAAGCTTGTGTTAAGCACAAGTGATGTGCAAGATCCCTCCTCGCTGGACGATGAGCTCCGGGGATCATCTTCGAACGGCCCAATTTGTTGGATAAATAACCCCATCGTCAGCCTTCAAAAAGGAAGCCGGCATGACCGGCTAAATAGCTAATAGGGGTCGGACATGCTTACCTCTTCCAAGCTCGCCAACTCGGCCGCAGTACCGGACTGTTCCCCCCTTGCGCAAAATTGCGGAGAGCACCGACAGGGATCATGCAACATCGGCCCCGGCTTGGCTCATTTACTCCCGACGACGCGGCACTCAATCCGACTCCTGGCCTAAACCCGTCCCGGCGATTGGCGGAACCGCAAAGCTCCTGATCGGTCCATCGCGGCCGTCATCCAGTCACCTTTTGGGCAGGTCTCCCAGCTCCGCCGCCCAAAAAACTCGTAAAGATCGGACAGGACTGGGGAACGCTCGACCAGGGAGCTCTCGCCAACGACCACCCACCGGTTCCAAGAATGCTACCCACGTGGGTCGACGTTAGTTTATTCTGGGCAAAGCGCATCGCTCTGGCCCCCATGTTGATGGTCAATATCCATTGTAAACGGCACTTGAATCTCCGTTTTCCCCTTGTCGTCACATCGGCCTCCCTGTGGTGGATTGATTTGACCCAGCGAGGCAAACAAACCGATCGAAGGGAAATCTGATTGAAAAAGGGACGGCCTCGTCCTCCCAGCTTCGCGATGTTCCTCCTCTCTGCTGCCTCACCGGACTCTCTGTTCATAGTTTTCCGACCGCTCCATTCATTCTTTTAAAACACATTTTTTGTACATACGTATCCAGCTTGTTGATCAACATGCGTTCCTTCGCTTCTATCTTCACGGCCACCCTCGCCGCCGTCGGCGCTCTCGCCGCTCCCGCTGCCAACCCCGGCACCGACCTGATCAAGAGAGCCTCCACCCCCAGCTCCCAGGGCACCAGCAACGGCTACTTCTACTCCTTCTGGACCGACGGCGCCTCTCCCGTCACCTACACGAACGGCGCTGGCGGCTCCTACTCCGTCGAGTGGCAGTCCGGCGGCAACTTGGTCGGTGGAAAGGGCTGGGCTACCGGTACCTCCCGCAGCATCAAGTACTCCGGCACCTGGGCCCCGGTCAACAACGGCAACAGCTACCTGACCATCTACGGCTGGACCAGGAACCCTCTCATCGAGTACTACGTCGTAAGTTGCACCTCGACCCAAGCACACCCACGCATATCATGAACAAGATGCTGACCCCAATGCTTCCAGGTTGAGAACCACGGCGAGTACAACCCCGGTTCTGCAGGAACCCTCAAGGGCACCGTCACCTCCGACGGCTCCACCTACAAGCTGTACGAGAGCACCCGCACCAACGCCCCCTCCATCGACGGCACCCAGACCTTCAAGCAGTTCTGGGCCATCCGCGACAACAAGCGCACCGGCGGAACCGTCACCATGTCCAACTTCTTCAACGCCTGGAAGAACGCTGGCATGACCCTCGGCACCTCTTTCGCCTACCAGATTGTTGCCACTGAGGCCTACCAGAGCGCCGGCAAGGCCAGCATCACTGTCGAGACTGCTGCTTGAGCAGTCTTCGGTTTGATGTGAGGGGGACATGCGATGGAGAGGTAGTGGTTGAGGAAAATATACACGACCGTCGGCATTAGGGAGGATGTCTTTAGTGATTCTCACCGGAGAGCACAGGATCAGTGATGAAGCGAAGGGCAGGCTCTACAGCCGTTGAAAGGCAGACGTTTCACTGAATTTCTTCGAGGGGCACACCCCTATGCTGCAAATAAAATTTTATTCCGCCTATGATGGCGTCGACTTACACAATCATCAGCCTCATCGTACAAGTCCCTATCATTGTATTTGTTTCATCCTGATGCGGTTCGTTTGCGATCTCATGCGAACGCGATGCTGTGCGCCGAGAGACAGACTGAATGACTCAGTGAGTTTTGATGCCGAGCCCGTACTGTATGCAGTTCAAAGCCATGCGAATAGCAAAGCTGATAAGGAATTGAACATACTCAACCCACCAGACGGATGGACTGATGTTTCCTTCTCCCAGCCTAGCGTGCTGGTGTCGAGCCGGTTGTTCGGAGAGTCGGAAGCGGGGCGGGCCTGGAGACCGGGGCTTGTGGGGTTTAATTGTTTGACTCTCGGAGCCGGGCGATCGGAGCGGATGTCAACAAGGGTCCGACTCAGGTAACTATTTACAGAATGGAGAGATGGGCAGTGGTTCATTTATATAAGCATCACTTACGGGAATGCACGGATGGTGACGGGCAGCATCAATTTCGTCTCTCTGCTCCCCACTCATCTCGAGATGGCCGTTCTGGGTTGTTCGCCAACACAGGTAATGTGGAATCTCATGGCGAACGTGCAACGAGCCGAAGATTTCCCAAGTATGACACATGGCAATAGTCATTGATCCGACGGTCAATATCCTTCTGATTCACGATACTCAAACATTACAAAATCGTCCTCGCCACGCTATGAGCTTATCGTGGAGCTTGCACTTTGCATGTCGGCTTCGCCGGCTTCGGACTTTCAATCTGAATTTTGACAAATTTCTGATTCAATATTTCTCATCACCGATACAATCTCTTGATAGCCTCGCAGCTGAACCATAGACAGCGCTTTCCGATCCTATTCCGACTCTCAGCCCTTATCTCTGTGGGGGTTCGTTGACGTGTTTCCCATTCCGAGACCCTTCCGACGCCCACCCACCGGGCCGCTATCTTCGCTTATCGTCTTGAACATCACTGCTAGGTAAGCCTGTGAATCATGCAACTCCTCACCTTGATTGTGACAATGTGTTGCTTTGCCACTCACCCGGTTGAAGGCGAATAAGCCCAAATGCGAGTCATGAGAGATAACGCATCCCGAGGAGTCCGTGATACAGACAGAATAATTGTCATCAAACACCTGAGGCGGATGAGAATCATCCGGGCGAGTATGCGTTGTTGATTGTGTGTAGGCTACTGATTGGTATGCAAAGCAATCGACTTGAACCGTTTCTGTCATACGCGCTTCTCAGTCTCAGCTCACGAAATCGGTCTAGGCCCACGACGTGCCCGTCGGCGATCAGGGACTGAGTAGGACACCATACTTGACTTCGAAAACATGATACTTTCATTTCACTTTCTCTAGAGTCTCGAAGTCGTGGTGACAATCAAAAGAATGCTCCCTCATCAAACACTCTACCTCTAAAGACTGGCCACAGAAACTTAGATAAAGCAATGTCGAGAATTAGTTTACTGTAATTGACGCTTTCTCCCCAGAGTTCACTCAAATTGAACGGCTGTGATAGAAACGGGATTGATCTCAGGGTGGGTAGCTTCGGCGATCTTGGTCTTGCAGGTTGTTGAACAAAATGCTTCCTTTTATGAAAAGATCTAGGCTAGTATGACACCGTCGTCATCTAATCCATCGACAGTCAAAGCTGCCTCTCAAAACCGGTTGCCTCCCTTTTTATATACATGTCGCTGTTCATACAAAATATCATGAATACCATCATCAAATATTCTACAAGTTGCTTCGGATGGGCGTCTCCTTGGCGCAGCATCCAGAGGTCAACTTGGATCCAATGTCCTTGTCTGAAGGCACATCAAGAGCCGGGTTTCCGGTGAAGAAGTCGGACGGCGTGATGTGCAATTGCAGCATCTCAACGGGCCTATTGATTGATTAGTTTCAGTCATCAATGCGAACCAGACAAGTTGTATCACTTACATGACGGGCCAGTCCTCAATACGGGGGTTGTGCGTCAGACCAAAGACACTCCAGAGGACAACATCCTGGTTCAGCACGTCCTCGTTCCTGTCCGCGGCGTCCTTGACACCGCCAACCTCCACCTTGCTCTGCAGGGTGTATCGGCCGCCAGCGAACAGCTCGTGGTCCTTGTACTTGGTGACCCACAGGTGGTGGCTGGCAAACAGCGCACGCTTGGACTGGACGCTGTTGGGGTCGGCGAGCAGTAGCTGCGTCGCCGGTGGCGTGATCTTGTAGCCGACAGGCTTGCCCGTGATGGGGTTGGGCTTGCTGAGGTTCTGGATCTTAAAGACGCGGTTGTTCATCGGCGCCGCGTCGAAGCCCGCCGAGGTCGTGACCTGCGTCTGCCTGACCTCGTAGAGGTTGCCGTTAGGGTTCGTCCGCGAATCCATACGCAGCGGCAGGCTCTCCTCCTGCACGACGGTGTTCTCGTTGCCGTCGATGGAGGGGTCGATGCGCACGCAGAAGACGTGCTGGTGGTTCTGCGCGAGGGCGCCGGGGCTGACGACGTTGCCCCACGGGCTGGTCTTGCCGGGGTCGATGTTGACGACGGAGACGATGCCCGTGGCGCGGGCCTCGACGACAATGCCGGCGGCCTGGTCGAACTTGAAGTTGAAGATGTACTCGTAGTTGGCGAGGGTGATGATGAACTGGATGACTAGCTCGCGGCGGCGGGTGACCACGGCGCGGCCGGTGCGCCAGTTGGTGTGCTTCCAGTTGATGCCGTTGTCCTGCTCGTGGAGGCAGATGACGTTCTTGGACTCAACGGCCGCACCCTTACCGTCGATGAGGACACCATCGAAGTACTGTTGCTCATGTCAGTATACGAGTCATGAGTTAGTTCGTTGCCACGGACCTTGATGACACCCAAGCAATCACAGCCCAGAGTCAGGTTGTTAACAGCGTTGCCCAAACCACCATCACCGAAGTCGAAAGCCTGCTTGCGGTGGAACGGCGGGCGAGGATCAGCGTAGGGCACAGTCTGGCTCCAATGTTAGCGCACACCCCAACAAACAGGTCAGTCTTAATGGGATGAACCCACCATATCACTCATGCTAAGACGGTACATGACCGGTCTGCCATCGTATCGCACATCGTGGACGACAGCACCCTCACGGGGGTTGAAGGTAACGCGCATGCGCCACTTCTGCCACTCAATCAAGTTGCCATCGGTGATGGAGAAACTGGGACCCTCGGGTTGCTGCACTGTCAAGGGCTTGAGATCCTTCCGCGTGCCGTTCGGCAGTAGCTCAGGCACGTACTCGCTCTCCTGGCAGTGGTCGATGATCGTGGGGGCGTGTGTCCTCCCGGACAGGGCATCGCCCTTACCACCAGTAGCAAGCTCATCGATGCGCACGATCTCCTTCTTGTGCGCATCCATAACAGGGATCAAAGGCAGGGGGTAGGCGTAGAAGTTGGAGTCCGGGTTTCCACTTCTCGTGTCCCGGGCGAAAATGAGAGCCTGGAAGAAACGGTTGTCGCCATCTGCGGCGTCAGGGGCGCCGTAGGGCCATGGCTCGACGACGACCTCGAAGCCCTCTGGCAGCTTAAGCTCAGCGATCTTCTCCTTGAACAAGGGGGAGCGCTGGACGGCATCAGCCAGGACCTCGAACTCGTAGCTTTTTTGGTGACAGGCGCGTTAGCGTTGCATTCATCTCGCAGAACCCGCGTGGGGGGTTGAAGATTCGTGGCTGGGAACGTACATGGTCAAACTCGCTTGGTGCTCGGAACCGATAAGCTTCTGATCAACAATCTTCCCGAGACCCAGGTCCACGATGGACTCGAAGTACTGGGCCTTAGTCGCGCCTCCAATAACATCGTAGAACACCTGGGCGCATCTCGCCGGTCTCGGTGATGACGCTGTGAGTTTGCCAGAGTGCTCGAGGTCCAGGAACTTGAGGACCTCAGCCTTTGGTGGTTCCCACAGGTAGTTCTGTCTGAAATCGAGGACGGAGCCGGGGTGCGCAGCGAGCACAATGTCTCGGGCCTTATTGGTCTCCTCCAGAGACAGGGCCGACAAGGGGTGCGGAATAGCTGCCATTATGGGAGGTGCGTATGTGACTCGGAACTAGGTTGCAGAGGCTGTGGGCGTCCGAAGATGGTTGTTCAGGGTTCGTTTTTGAGACTGAGCAAGATTGCGTTCTTATGAAGAAACCAGCAACGCTCGGAATGAATGTCTAACCAACTGTGTCCTTTGATGTCTTAGGTACTGAAACACCAGACTGACCTTCCGCACGTTCGGGCCATTAAATGGTCCACGAGTTCTGGTTGGCTCAGTAGTCGGAAGGCCTTCCGAGAGAGGCGCCCGGAACTGGTCGGAAACCGCGGAACAGCTCCGAGTCAAGGCGCAGCGCCCACGTAGTCTTCTTATCTTCAACCCCGGCCAAGATAAGGCTATTATAAAAGTTAGTTGATCAAAGATCGAGGCACTAGGGGATCCTGGGAAGCTCTTGTGATTGGCCAGCGATTATTGAACCGCAGTTGATTGGGCCTCCCGCTGAAGATAAGATGCCGGACGCCTTGCAGCGGTGCCGCCGTCTGGGTATCGTCTCCATTTTGGTGAATCTCGCAGGTTTGGGAATCTGAATTTGCTCGGTGATAAGATCAAAGAGGAGTTTGAGTAGTCATGGAGATACATAACAAAAGACGTGTGCCCGACAAACCCCGGGATTGAGTCGGTAGATCGTACGACTGTAAGGCGACAATTCGAAATCGCTAGTCAAAATTTGCTTCAGTCTTGTTGTTTTCTTGCTTGTTTTGTGAAATAATGGAAACCGACATGAAGAAAGATACGGTGACCCTTGGCAAAGTCGACTCTCAGAGCCAGAATGAGCCCATTTTCACCGGCGACGACTTGCGACTTGCTCAACTCGGACACGCCCAGGAATTGAATCGACAATTCTCTTTGCTTACACTAGGTGCACTATGTGTGTGTCTTATGGCAACATGGGAGGCTCTGTCGAGTGTTGTTGCGCCGGCTCTTGTCAGCGGCGGCGCCCCTTGTTTGTTTTATAACTTGTGAGTTGATGATGCTTGTTCAGTTGGACCACAGCGGAAGGCTAATAAGTTTTGAAGGATACTTTCAACAATTTGCACGGTATGCATCGCATCCTCGCTGGGAGAAATTGCATCCATCTATCCAACTGCAGGAGGTAAGAGTTGCTGGTTGACACAACACCAAAGAGATCCAAATGAGTTGACGCTGACAACTTTACCTCACAGGTCAATACCACTGGGTTGCGGCGCTGTGCCCGCCCTCGACTCGATCGGCCGCGGCGTTTACAACCGGTTGGATTTCTGTGGGGGGCCAGGTGGTTCTTACCTCTTCCGCCGCCTTCGCGGCCGGTCTCCAAGTGCAGTCTCTCATCATCTTGAACGACGACTCGTATATCCCGGCTAGGTGGCAGGGCATGTTGTTCTATTGGGCAATTCTTGTGTATGCATTGGCCATGAACATTTGGGGACATAGACTTCTACCCACGGCCAACCTTGTGTCCGGTAAGACTCTTTGACATTGTCCGACCTTAGTTGTGGGAACTCGTATTAACATAGAATTGTTATTAGGCTTTCTCCATGGTGCTGGCTTTCTGGCCATTCTTATTGTTCTCGGTGTCATGGCCCCGAAGAACACCGCGTCCTTCGTCTTCAAGGAGGTCACTAACTCTAGCGGTTGGGAGAGTGACGGAATCTCTTGGCTCGTTGGGCTGATTAGCGCCGTCTACCCGTTCTTGGGGTAAGTAGGCACGTGTCCGTGATGCAAGACCAGACTAACGATCCGTAGCTACGATGCCGCATGCCATTTGGCCGAAGAGTTGCCCAACGCGAGTCGCGACGTTCCAATTGCAATGGTGGGAAGTGTCCTCGTCAACGGCGTAATGGGCCTCATCTACGGCACCGTGTTGCTCTTCTCCACCGGCCCGCTCGACGCCCTCCTCTCAACCCCGACCGGATACCCCTTCATGCAAATCTTCCTCGACGTCACCAAGTCCCACGGCGGCGCGACATTCATGTCCTTGGTCATCATTATGACTGCCATCGCCGCCACGGTCGCCGGTATTACATCGACCTCACGCACGCTCTGGGCCTTTGCCCGTGACAGAGCCACCCCTTACGACCAGTACCTGAGCAAAGTCAACAAGCACTCCCAGATTCCGATCTACTCCGTGGTGCTCGTGACCGTCCTCCAGATGCTCCTCGGCTTCATCTACGTTGGCAACACGACAGCCTTCAACGCCATTCTGTCCATGGCCATCATCGGAATGTACTCAAGTTACATCGTCCCTATCGCGTACATGCTGTTCGGCCGCAAGAACATCAAGCCCTCAGACTTTGGCCCCTTCAAGCTCGGCCCCACCGTGGGCCCTGTGTTGAACGTGATCAGTTTGATCTGGATGGTCGTGGTCATCATCTTCAGCACGTTTCCCTCGGCTATGCCAGTGACGCCGCAGAACATGAACTATTCGATCGTTGTGATGGCTGGTTGGCTATTCTTTGGTATCATCTACTACATCTCATACGGCCGCAAGAAGTTCGAGGTGCCGGTGGTGGATAGTAACGTGGTAACAGGCATTTCTGTCCCTGCAGATATCAGCGTCTAAGGAACGGAAACGCGAGGATAGGGGGAGGACATTGACAAGTATTGGTTAGATTGTAACATGAAAAGTTTTCGCTTGGCTGCAATTCAAGTCCCCGTCCTCGCACTGATATGTTCCGTGATTCAAATTAGGGTTATGCGCTGATGCGGTTTGACTGGTCCTTGTGCTGGATTAAATCAAACCCTGAAAACGTCGCGAAATCTCCTCCGGGTCCCCTAGCGACATGCCTTGCTCATTCACTCCAAAGAACCCTACCGGAAAATCAGGCGGCGCCGGGTGACCGCCATTCGCATGACCAAAAGCGTCGAAAAGATTCATCAGATCGTTTCCCATGTTGAACATGTCGGGAATTGAGCTGTTGGCCTGCGGGCTTGTGTCCCAAGCATCCCATGCGCTGTTCTCCGGCCTCCTTCCGTCTCGTTCGCCCGGGCCCGGGTTCTGGTGTGGGTCATCCGGCCGGGATTCGGCCGCGTTCTGCTCCGTATCGTCCCCTGCCTGTGGCGCATCTGCCTTCTCAGGGTCACTCCGAAGACCGAGAGATTTGACACCTGGAAGCAAACCTCGAATGGTCTTCCAAAGCCTTCGGCTTGCATGCCCATGTCGTGAGAATCCCTTGACAAGCTGCACTGCTTTCAGGAAGCTCTCCTTACAGGGCTCAGTAAACACACCCGGTGCGTGACATACAGCGAGCAGGATCACGGCTAGTGCGCTCATCAGGAAATAATTGAAAGCGTGCTGCTGTCGTGCATAGATATCGCTAGTATCGTTGAGATGCGTCAATACTTGTATGGTATCCAGTGCGATTTCCGTGACTAGTTTGGCACTCTGAATGTCGGCCCTGATGCTTGCGGTGCTAAGGACATGATGCCGGTGGATGAGCGTTCGCATGTGATTTCCGCGTAGGTAGAGTAATGATCGAAGGCGGTGCATGCTTCTCGGCTGAGTCCGGGGTGCGAGTCCAAGCCTAGGATGCCGAATACGGAGGTCGTCCGGGATGGAGTTGAGCCAGTTCTGCGTCATGAAGTCCAAGAAGGCGACTGTGTCCTTGGGAATGAATTGTGATGGAGACTCAAAGGGCGGCAGGGCCTCCCATACTTTGGAGCAAAGCCTGCCGTAGGACACCATGCACCTCAAGTAGGGGTAATTCTCTCCCTGGAGCGACCGTCAGTCGGTGTTGCTGTCCGAAGGAAGTTGATGGCGAAGAACTTACCGGCTCGGGTAACTCGGGATCTATGTCCCTGTCAATGAGGCCGAACGACAGACTTGTCCCGAAGCTCCAGCGGCGATCCAAGACGTAGACGCACCAGAAGCATCGTACGGCGAGATCTCGCTGCCTGGGATCTTTGAAATTGTCCAGGAGAATCGCTCGTCGATGGAGGCCAATCTCGAGGCATTCTCTGCCGGAAATGCCGATAGCCCTCCATGCTAGAAGCTCCTCACCACAGTGGAACCAGTAGAGGCTCTGACACGATGTCAGCGTGGGCACTCATCGGGTAAGCTGTTCGTCCGAGGAAAGACTTAGCTCACCAACATAGTCATAATCTGCAGTTCCTTCAAGTCGATGAATGCCTCGCCCGAGACTCGACACACAACGGGCTCGACGGAGTCAATCAACTTCGTGCTTATGGGATTCTGCCCCTGAGCCTCCATTACTATCGATATAGCAATCGCGACCTTGGCAAGCTGGACATCCTTCTCCTCGATCTTTGGCCGCTCCTCTTCTGGGACATTTGGGTCCGCCGGTGGATTCTGCAGGTGTCGAGCGTAATAGAGTATGTGTGGTAGATTCGCTGAGACATCTTTGATATTAGTAAAGGGGTAGACTGACTCCATTTCCTCTGAGTAAACGTCAAGCAGACGAAGGATTTCATCAAATTCTAATGTCAATAGGCAGTCCAAATCTTTGTGAGATGACGCTGTCTGGTCTTCGGATATGACGGAAGGTGCTCGCTGGGATGCAGCCGGCGAGGCAGATCGGCTCGTCGGTTCCTCATCGCCAGTTTGAATTCGCATGCGGGTGAGCGACGTCTCAGCGATGCGAAGGCTAAACGCCGATCTCGTTGGTCCGACAAACTGAGGTTCCCTCGGCTCACTCGGCCGACGATTCGACTCACTCGCGTAGAGAGGGCTAGGATGCTGTGGACCACCGAGAGCAGCTGGCGAGCGAGTGTTGATATGAGCAACTTTGCCATTGAGCTCGCGAAGAGAGGATGTCAAGCTGGCGACCTGTTCTCGAAGGGCGGCTACCTCGTCGCTGAGATTCTTATACTGGGAGCTGTAGTCTTGTCAGCTGGAGTGAGATGAATGCGATGACGGTGACGTACGGATGTTGTTCCTCCCTCTCATGAGTAGCATCCCGGTCTTTATCTTTTAGAGGCGTCTGCTGAGGCCCGGGGATGAAGACGCACTCGGCACCGTTGGAGAGGCACCGCCGGCATACGGTCTGATGGTCCTCCTTGATGCACTTCAGCTTCCGCTTCTTGCACTCATTGCTAAGCGATCGTCGTCTTAGAAACTCGACTCAAAATATCACGAGCATCCAGTGACTTACCAAGCGACAGGCGTGTACTTCGCCCGCTTGCTGCGCTGGCCTTCGCCGGTCGCGGGCGCGGCGCGCTTCTGCACTGGAGCGGATCCGGCGCGGGTCGACTGCGGCGTCGCGGCCTCTGCCGGCGCTGCATCAGCCTCTGGGCCCATAACGTCCAATCGATCGGCCGGTCGCCAGTTGAGACCCGGGGCCGGAGGGATATGGAGCACTGCGGAACGCGTCGTTGATGGTTCGGAATCGATGGCGAGGATGCGGCTCGGCGTGAAAAGAGGAGTTCCGAGACGCGGTGACTGCTCCGGCGAAACCGCACACACTACGCCCTTATCATGACGCTAATCAGCCCCCAAAACATGGTGGGTCCTGAATGAAGTCCTGGCTGAGCAACTCATTCAACAGGGGTATCTTACCTGACAACAACGTCTGTTCACTCTTGTTGTGACGTCAACATCAGTTGCGAGTCATGTACAACCGCCACCGAGAAAGAGATCGCTTCAAAACAATTGATACGTCGCTCAAAGCGGCCCTCTCTGCGGACGATAAACCAAACCTAGATTACTTTTGCTCGAAGTTCATGTTGTTCAACAAAACCACGATATCTTATATCTTCAGCATTCAATTTTTCAGTCAAGGTTTGCCGACTTTAGCAGCTTGAAGCTTTGGGTCAGACTCATGAGTGCGATATGCAAAACCCTCCAACGCAGAACAGCACGTACTAGTTAGTAGACAAGCGGGTTAGCCCAACATGATAGCACCTTGGAAATCGCACGAGAACGCTATTTCAAAGACATTGACTGTGACTATGAAGGTCGGGGATAGCCTACTGGAGACGTATAATTGAATTAGGCAGGCCAATCTACATTGAGATAACAGGATTGACCGTGTTTATTGGCGCAAGTGGTTTTCCTTTAGAGCTAAGATCGCTGCATAACCTGAACCGAATCAACTCAAGAAGCATGTCTGGTCCCTCCTACACATATGCAATTTTGGCCACGAACACAAAACTGACGAGGGCCAAATGCATCAAGCATTTGAAATAAAAACTACGTCTTCTGGGTTTTGTGGCCAGCACTTGTCAAGCCACTCATAACTGTGCAGGGCTAATACAGGCGGTGAGCAGGGATCCGACACGGACATCACGCTACGATCAGCCGATCGCTCGATACCTTTGGAAGCCATATTCATTACTCCTCCTACTATAACCAATGCTTATCACTTTGTTCGACGCGTCTGAAAAGAAAAGGCTGTCTGTGATATTCTGTAGCTAGATATTCCTTGAATATTCAGGTATACAAAGGTTGTAAATCATGGGTTGGTTGCTGGCTGATTTTGAAAGGGCCTCGTGATCGAGGGGCTCGACAAGGCAGTCGTCTAGTAGTCGCATGTATGTCTCGGGACTATTGTATGCTTTTACATGGGAGGCTTTGGGCAGCTGTTAGCATCCGCATCGGTCCTCGGGTGCCGCCTCATATGACCTAGTCCGGGCGTCTCTTGATCTACGTTCAGCTGCCTCGATGTTAGCCAGATTGGGGATCTTTCTCCGTTTCGGGCCGCTCCCGCCACTATCACATATTTTTTGCATACTCCAAGACTCTGGCACTTTGCCAGAATGCGCTTCGTCCCGCAGTGTTTCAGTCATATTTCATGGTGATAGGCCCAACCCCGCATATACAGGGAGAGTGGAGTGGTGAAAATGGGAGCTGAGCTCTCCGTGGCGTTCTTTTGGCCAGCTCTTGGCAAATAGCAGTCGTGGTGCGAGGTGGGAAAACGATACGTAAACTGGCATGAAGAGCGGCAATGAAGGGTTTATGAGGGTCTTTCACGGGTGCTTCCAAACCTCACAGAAGAAGTGACTGCGACTGCATTATGCATAAAAGGTGCTCCTGCTCCGTGCGATGACCCGACAATCGAGCTGATATTCCTAGTGTGTGTCTACACGAAGCTGACGCTGTATCGAAACTCTTCCTCTTCCTCTTCTTGCAAACCACCGACACAAGTAAAGCTTGTCACTCAATTCAACTCCTCAAATTCACACGCTAATCCAACTCCTGTTCAGGGCACTTTCTCTCCAATCATGAGCTACAAAATCTGGCTGGAGGAAAAGCCGCACTCCTTGGAAGGCCATGTCTTTGAGGCGACTCTCACGTTCAATGGCAGAGAGATTTGGGGCCCTAGAGGCGCTCACGACAATACCTTTCGCCTCAGAGATGCTCTTCACAAGGCCGATCCTCGCTTTGATATCATTTTGAAGAAGAAGAGCCATTCGCTTGAAGGCCATATCCGCTACATCAGCGTCATCCACCATGGGCGACTTATCTTGAACAAGCTTCCTACTCACGACAGTATGGAAGGGTTGGTCAAGGCTGTCAATGAGAAATGGGCCGAGGGTGGTACGTATGGAATCACTGGTATACCTCGACCCGATGACCTGGAGGACAAGACCATCAACATCCCATTTGTCCCGGACATGCCTGTTCGGTATAACGTCGAGATCTTGGCAACTGACAAGAAGCTCCGTAAGCAATGGACGCTTTTCGTGCTTGCTCTGGAGAAGTTCAAGAACAAACCTATCCAGGAGAAGCTGTCGTACTTCCAAATCGCGGGTATTGTAAGTCATGGGCATTGGCACGTGTGCAACGATGCAAGGATGGTCACTGACTTACTTCTTCCAGCATGCTGCACCCTACCAACCGTGGGATGGAGCTCCGAGAGGTCCTGTTAACGACAAAGGAAAACCACTGGGATACTGCGTCCACAATGGTCTCAATTTCCCCACCTGGCATCGCCCATACATGCTACTCTTTGAGGTACGTACAGACTTCCATTTTGAGTTTTGAAGAACTTCTCAGAAAAGACAACTAACAGTAATGTAGCAACTGATTTGGGAGAACATGAACGAAGTTGTGACTCACTGGATTAGGGAGCATGGCTTACCCGACGAGGAAGCCGAGGTCTGGTACAAGGAGGCTGAGGCCTGGCGTCTTCCTTACTGGGACTGGGCTGCTCAGCAGACGTATGCTGAGGACTTTGCCTGTCCAGAGGTTCTGGTCCAGGGTCCCGTGCGCATTTACCCACCCGCGTTGGTCAGGGACCGTTATCCTGAGGGCGGCCTCTATGCCAATCCGTTCTGGGGCTTTAACAATCCAGTTCGATACGAGGACGGCGATGATCAAGGTGATCCCAGGCCGTTTGGAGATATGCCGGAGTCACTCAAGGAATGGAACATACCTCAAACTGAACAACGCGATCGAAAAACGGGTGCGTTGGAGGACATATTGCCTGTAAGTGGTGTTACAAAGATTGTGGCTAGAGGCCACCTCCCCCGCTCAAAGCATGACTTGAGGGCTAACGGATAGATATTGTGCAGTGGGATAAAGTCTCTGGAGTCAGCCGTTATGGTCTTTTTAGGAAGGACAAGGTCGAAGGTCTTCACACTGAGAGGTCGGATGAGAAATACACGTACAGGGGCCTCGGCGGTGTCAACAATGCCTGGCAGGCCAATACCGTCTTTGCATCAATGAAGAAGGACAACGCATGGTATCATCCCCGTCCCGACCAGAAAGATTGGAAATTTCAAGGTCCTGGCAGTTTGTCTGACGGGATTAACCGCATGTTCTGCCCCAACTATTTAACAACTTATGAGGAATTTGCTTCCACGAAGTTGTATAAAGAAAAAAACATCCGTCCGTGCGGATATCTGAACCTGGAGTACATCCACAACAACGTCCACGTGAGTTTTACCACATGCTTCCCCTTCCTTCGCGGGGAAGAGGAAAAGCGTTGACAATTACATAGAACCTAACTGGTGGAGGTAAATGGGATCTTGGGATGGGTCACATGAGCGATGTCCCTGTTGCAGCTTTCGATCCTGTCTTTTGGCTTCATCATTGGTGAGTATGAAGGCACATCTCAAATCGACCCCACTATATTAATTTGAGAACTTTACAGCCAAATTGATCGGCTCTTCGCCATCTGGCAAGCATTGAACTGGGAAAAGTGGTGGGATGGCACAGAACCTGATCATGTGGATCCTCATGACAATCGACACACTCTGCTTCAGCCCTTCCATCTCAAGGACAATGACCCGGAGAAGCAAGTCTACACAGCAGATCTCACCCGAGACTGGAACAAACTCGGCTACAGCTACGACGTTCTCAAAGAAACCGCTGCCGTTGAAGACGTCGTTGATACTGCTGATGGTACGCTCAAGGAGGAAGCTTTTAAGAGTGCTCTGCGAGCCAAACTTGGCTCCCTGTACCCGAGCGCTCCGACTGAGGGAGGTCTCGACAAAAAGCTGGCTCCAATCCCAACTCGAAGTGCGAAAATGGAAGACATCGAGTGGTTCTCTGGCAACCCCGAGAGAGCTACGTGGAACGATTACATCATCAACGTCGACTATGATCGGTACGCTGGTGGGGGCTCTTCATACTCGGTTGAATTCTTCCTCGGCGGTCCTAGGGCCGCGGACGCGACCGACAACTTTCATCCCCTCAATTACATCGGCTGCGTCTACACTTTTGCTGGCGATCAGCTCGGGAAGTGCGGCAATTGTTCCAATCAGGCACAGAAAGGAGTTAGATCGCGTGGTCAGCTGCCTTTGACGGTGCATATTCTCCAACAGGCTGCTGATGAGATCCACTTGCTCAAGACCTACGAGGAGGACAAGGTGAAGAAATATCTTACTGAGCACTTGAAGTGGAGGTTTGTACTACTGGGTGGCAAGGTAGTATCCCAGGAGCGCTTCCCGAATACTGTTGTCACTGTTCTCAAGGGCACGGGTCGCTTCAAGATCGAGAAGAAGAAGCCTGTGAAGAACAACTTGAAATTGGCCAGTGTGATGACCGGAGTTTCTTATCGGATGCTCTCGGAAGCCCCTCATAAGTTGTCATCTGATCAGGTCGCGGTGTCGGTCACGTCTTATGATTCCAATTATGAAGCTCTTGTGGACGTGACTAAAGGCAAAGCGGGTGGTTACAGGGGCGAGTGATTCCACGGGCTAGAAGGAAGCGGAAGGTAGAAGAATCGTATCATGCATGAAATAAGGTCAAGATATTAATTTCTTTTGACCGCTGATGAATCACGTACTTTGAATTGCTTGAAAACAAGTGTCACTAGCAAAACCCTGATGACGGATTGGAGGTAATTGGAGCTATCGAGACCCTCTCCAGGCTGAAAGCGTCCCCTGTAGCCATTTTTCAGTGAATGAGGTCCCTCTGCTTCGCTAAATACTTTCCGCAGCCTCATGCACTAATATACAGGCTCCACGAAAATGGTGAGGTAGCTGAGGGCACGCTAACATAATCATGTCTCGGCCGTTGAGGGGACAGCAACGCGCGAGCTTCAGCCAGCCACCAGGCTCAGCTCTTCTTCTGCCAAGAAGCAAGACAGACATGTGTGACTTGGAACGGGACGTGCCAAAACGGGTAAGGGTGAACTTCCTTAGCCTCGAAACAAGAGTCGTCCCATGCTTTCGAGTTTCTAACTCTATGAATGAAACAACTGTCGTGGCTATCGCCGTTAGTGTTTTCGTAGTCGTCGTTATCGTTATTGTCGTCGTCGTTGCCCCCGTCGTCGTTGCCCCCGTCGTCGTTGCCCCCGTCGTCGTCGCCCGCCGTCGTCGTCATCGTCGTCGTCGTCGTAGCAATCATCATTGTCGTTCTCGTTGTTCTTATCATTGTTATTATTATGACTATCATCGTTGTCGGCATTATTGTTGTCATTTGTTGTCATCGTCCGTGTCGTTGTTATCTCTATTTTGATCCCTTCTATTATCACGCTGATCAGGGGTCACTCAGTATACAGGAAGCATGGTCGCGGACACATATGAAAATCAAGCAATTGCTTTGACAGTCACTCTTTCAATAGGTGCTGTTAGGCAGTATCGCCCAATACTTAACTAACCCCTAGCCCTGATCTTATACCAACTTTCCATACGCTCCTCCACCTGGACTCTCTGAGATCACTTAGTCAGTATTGCATACGAAAAGATTAGGGATATGACTGCACTTACTTATGATGATGTGGTCACCCTTACGCATCTGACATGTGTTTTTGCCTCCCAGGTTAATCTCTCGGAGCCCATATTCGTCCTTCCTGATCCAGAGGTTCTCGCCAGGTGTACCTGATTCCCCTCCGCAGAGCCCAAAAGGAGGCACAGAACGTCTCTCACTTAGAACGCTGACTTGCACGTCGCGGCGGAACTCGATATGACGAATGCATCCATCTCCGCCCGAAAACTTACCTTGGCCGCCGGAGCCTTTCCGAATACCGAACTCGTGTAAGATACAAGGATAGCGCCGCTCAAGAGACTCGGGATCCGTGATTCGAGTATTGGTCATGTGAACGTGAACACCAGACTGGCCAGCCCACGTCGGACCCGCGCCAGCGCCGCCTGCGATTGTCTAAGAAATGGTCAGAGAACTGTTCAGGGGGAAAGCTTTAACTAACGCACCTCGTAATAACCGAAACCTGGTCTTGCCTTGCCATCAATGACTTCACCTCCGTACCCAAATGTCAGGTTATTGCACGTTCCCTGGCTGGCCGCGGCCGCTTGAAACGCCCTGAGGACAAGATCTGTAACTCTCTGCGATGTCTCGACATTCCCTCCCACAGTTGCTGCCCCTAGAGAGGGCGAAAGAATAGTCCCTGCTGGAAGAACCACATTGATTGGTGCAAGGCATCCCTGATTGAGAGGGATGTCTTCTTTCACCAGTGACCTCAGGACATAGATGATTGCACTGAAGGTGATGGCTCGTGGGGCATTGAGGTTGCCATACACTTCTCGACTGGTACCGGTGAAATCAAATTTGGCGGACCCCTCATCGCGGTTGATGTGTATCTTCAGCACCAGCTTCGATCCATCGTCCATCTGATCTTCTGCTTCCAGCGGTAGACCGCTAAACTGGTCATGAACCTGTCGTAGGAGATTTCTCACGACCTTCTCAGCGTTGTCTTGGATCCCAAGCATGTATTTCTGAACGCTCGTTAGTCCTCAGACTCCGTATAGAACATAATTGCTAATTGAACTTACTTGTACTGTAGGAAGACCGTACTCCTTGATTGACTCGTGGATCAATCGAATGCCCTTCTGGTTCGCGGCAATCTGAGCCTTCAAATCGCTAACGTTGTCACTCCATGTTCTCGTCCCGGAAGAGCCAGGGTAGGAGGCAGGCTTCTTCAACATGATCTCCGCCAGCCCCTCCTCATTGAACTTGCCGTTATTGACAAGCTTAAATGAGGTAAAAGACGCTCCTTCCTGCCAGATTTCCTTAGAGTGTGGCGGCATCGATCCTGCCGCAATACCGCCAATATCCGCGTGATGGGCTCTCGACGCTGTCCAGAAAAGAACTTCGTTGGTGTGTTCGTCAATCACAGGAGAAATGACTGTGACATCAGGAAGATGTGAACCGCCAGCGGCAGGATGGTTCGAAACCAGGACGTCGCCGGGGCAAAGGGTTTTGCCCCATCTTTCGGCTTGGTAGGCCACGGCATAGCTCATCGCGCCAAGGTGGCACGGAATGTGCGGTGCGTTAGCGACAAGGCCACCTTGAGGAGAAAAAATTGCGCACGAGTAGTCAAGGCGCTCTTTGATGTTGATAGAAACCGACGTGAGTTGGAGCGAACGCCCCATTTGCTCCGCCATGCTCATGAACCGGTGACCAAAAACGGAGAGCTGAATGGGATCCACGACATCAGGATCCTCCAAGGCTGTGTTCTTTAAGGGCGTCTCTTCACGATCTAGCAAAAGATGCCTCGGAAGCACGGTAGCTGCCCATCCTGGCTGTATGAGGATAGTCTGCGTTTGATCGAGAATGATCGAAGGACCCGGCACCTTGTCCCCTGCCGTAAGGTCTTCCAGCTTGAACAGGTTCACCTCATGCCACTGGTTCTGACTGTAGACCCTCGTGGTCCTCGCACTGTTCGTCGGTGGCGCGAGCCTGATGTCAACGGCTTTGAGTGCAGAAGAAACACTCATGCTTTCCGTTCCTGCAGTCTTGCCCAGGGCGCGTACTCGAATGTCCTCGACAAGGATCTCGCGGTCAAGAATAAATCCAAACTCTTCCTCGTGGTGTTCAATAAACTTCCGGGAAAAGTCCCATGAGTCGTTAGGCTTCTCGATCATAAGAGAGCTGTTTGTGCCTTGATACCGGAGGTTGAGGTACAGCTCATACTCGATCTGTTGGTCTGTGAATCCTTGGGCGGTGAGTGTCTCGCCAGCTTCTGAAGTCAGGGACCCAAACTCGCTGGCAAACTGGGCCTCCTTCATCTCTGACAGCCGTGCCGCACGAGGCCGTTGGATGTCATGCGTCAAGTCCGCCAATGCCATTCCGTATGCTGAGAGGACCGAAGAGTACCGATGGATCACAACCCGCTGGATGCCTAGTGCCTCGGCAACATCACAGGCATGCTGACCTCCAGCCCCACCGAAGGTGGCCAAGACATGTTCTGAGGTCCGGATGCCTCTTCCCTCGGTTAATGATCGAATCGGCCTGCTCATGCTCTCATTCGCCACGCGCAGGAAGCCACTCGCGACTTCTTCGGGAGTAAATAACTTTCCCTCCTCCGCGTTGATTTTGTCGGTCAAACTCTTGAAAGCATACGCTGTTGCATCATAGTCCAGAGGCTCATTCTCTTCAGGGCCAAAGATTGCCGGGAAATATTCGGGGCGAAGTCGTCCCAGGAATAGATTGGCATCGGTGACCGTAAGAGGACCACCCTTTCGGTAACATACAGGCCCAGGATGCGCCCCCGCAGACTGCCACTTGTCAGTTATCTCATCTTTAGAGCAAGGACGGGGCTGTTCACATCCGGACCAATCGCGAACAGACCGTTCTTCCAATGCAATATCGACCCTCCACCAGCAGCAACAGTGCTGATGTCGAGCTGCGGAGTCTGCAGGGTCACCTCTGCAGTCTCGGTCTCGAAGACATGGTCGTATGTACCCGAGAAGCGACTGACGTCTGTCGAAGTTCCTCCCATATCGAAGCCGATGACAGGCATCTTGTCGTCGGGGTCATAGCACGAGCGCGCAAAGCCAATCACCCCTCCTGCAGGGCCAGAAAGAATAGCTCGCAGACCAGAAAACTTCTGCCACAGGCAGAGACCACCATCGCTCTGCATGAACAAAAGCTTCCCAGCCACGGCGTCCAGTCCGCCCTTGAAGCCGCTGCCGAAGTTCTTGACGTAACGCCGGATGAGAGGCGAAAGGTACGCATCAGCGGTCGCGGAGTTTCCTCTAGACACCATTTTGATCTGAATAGAATTAGCTGTTAGTAGCTGTTATCTTCCGAACACAACTAGGAACAGGCTTACCGTAGGCTGAAGCTCCGATGAAACAGAGACCTCGAAGCCCATAGACCGAGCAAGTTCGGCAACTTGATTCTCATGATTGGGATAAAGGTAAGAGTTTATGAAGCATATGGCTAAGCTGTTGAATCCTTCGGCTTGAAGATGTCTCAGTTGATCTCTGATCGCTTCGGTGTTGGGTCTCTTCAAGATTCTGACTGGCTCGCCTGTCAAACCCTCGACCAGGGCGTCATCGCTGTTGATATCAATGGGTTCCTTTTCGGGATTTTCGAGAAACTCTTCCATTGTGACCCGCTCATCAATTTCGACCACGGTATCGTGTAGATTCTGAAGCTTATGTATGCTCAGGTCAAAAATGTGAGGCCTCGCTTGGTTGCCAATGACCAGCAGGTCACGGAAGCCCTTCGTAGTTAGGAATGCGACTCGTTCACCCTGGCGTTCGAGCAGTGCATTTGTCGCAATAGTCGTGCCCATTCGAATTGACTCGACGTCTGTAATATCCAACGGCTCGTCGCGAGGAAGTAGCTTTCCTCTGAAGTGTGCTAGTACACGACGAATTCCTTCCGTCGGAGCGTCATTGTAATTACGTGGGTCGACCGATAATAGCTTGAACACCATCTCTGGCTCAGAAGAGCCGGGAATGTAGGCATGTACATCTGTAAATGTACCGCCGCGATCTTTAGAGATGGGTTAGCGCCCATTTTCTTACATTACAGCAGCCAATCTGGGAAACTTACCAATCGCAATTCGGATCTTCCTTTGACTGTATCCAAGTGAACCCATCTTGTCGTGTAAAACGGGGAGATATTCTGAATGTCCTTAAACCAAACGTTCAATTCGATGAACCTCTTCACCATAGACCTTGGTGCCTTTATTGCACGTGTCGGCGTTGGCAAACCGACCGCCGGAGGGCCCCACAATGGCCGAGTTCGCTCTCGGAGCCCGGCCCCGATGCACTGTGTTCCGATATGGGGAGATCGGATACGAGCAAAACGACTGAGTGCACCAAATTGGGGCCGAGGAGCGGGAAGCCAACCCGAAGCAGCTGAGATAAGCCTCGAGACGTAGCATCGAGATCCCCTCATCTCGGGCAGGAATACTCGGTATTTTCGGTTACAACCAACAGTCTCGGTAAGCTGGGCCGTTATCGCAGTTGGTGCGAAGGGCGCTGGGGATGTCTTCCACAAACCATCGAGCTTATCAGATCTTTCATCTCTTCAATCAAAATTCTCCACAATAATCCTTGTGAATTGTCATGAGGTGCATTCTCCTTGGCGGCTCGGGAACGCGATGCGAAGATGTGCATCTTTGGTCTCCGGGATTGAGGATCAAGGTGATTGCCAAGAGATTGAAACACTATCTTGGAATTGTACTCAACGCTGGAAAACATTCTTTTCTGGACAGACTCCCGTATAATTGAAATATCTTCTTCCACTATTCCTGACTTTCTGTTCATGAAACAGGCGACTATAATTAGCAATTTGTGCCATGTCGAAATCGGACTCAGATATCCCTTTGGAGGGTAAAAGCAATATGAAGTCGGCTAACGACCAAGATATCAATGAGCACAATGCCTGCTCCTCTATCTTTCAGATCGACCGAGTTGAGGAAGCGAAAGTTGTGAAGAAGATCGATCGTGCGATTACCCCCATTCTACTCGTTGTCTATCTCTCATGCTTCATTGACAGATCAAACATCGGTACGTGCAGGCACTGGTATATCAGTTCTACTCATCGTGTGAAGTTTCACTTACCTTTCGCAGGCAATGTAAAAGTTGCAGGCCTTCTTGATGACATTGGCGCAACGGAGCGACAATTTTCGACTGCCGTATCTCTGTTCTTCGTCACTTACGTCCCGGTCGAGGTCCCCGCTGTTATCCTCGTCAAGCGCTTCGAACCAAGATTCGTCTTAACTATCCTTTGTATCATCTGGTCGGTCACCACAATCGCTAATGGCCTTATAAAAAACATTGGTGGGCTATATGCCTGTCGGCTTATCCTCGGAGCTTGCGAGGGAGGCCTGTTTCCGTCTCTCAATATGTACCTCACAATGGTTTACAAACGAAACGAGCTGGCCAAGCGTACATCCTACCTTGTTTCATGTACAGCATTATCCGGTGCCTTTGGTGGGCTTCTTGCCTATGGCTTGCTACAAATGGATGGTGTCGGAGGATACGCAGGCTGGAGATGGGTCTACATTGTCGAAGGAGCTTTCAGCGTTCTTTGCGCTTTCGCAGTTTGGTTTGGGCTTCCCAGTGACATTCGAAAGGCGTATTTTCTCAACGAAAACGAACGTCAACTCATGGAAGTACGTCATCAAGAGCGTCTGGACTACATGGGAAGCGATGAGCTTGATTGGCAGGAGATCAAACTTGCGTTCTTGGACGCAAAGACTTGGCTATCGTAGGTGGATTCTGAATGCCTGGGGCTTCTCGTGCCGTTACTGACAAGACTTCAGTGCTTGGACCCAGTTTTGCCAAAACATTTTCACCAATGGCTTTGGAACATTCTTGCCTTCAATTCTTCGAGCCATGGGACATGGCACGCTGGCGGCGAATTATTTGACTATCCCAGTCTACTGTCTAGGGGCTTTGGCGTTCTTCACCTTTGCTTTCTTGTCTGACAAGTATGGGAAATGCGGTTTCGTGAGTTACATGGTCCGTGTCAACTCAAATAATGCTGATCAATGAACTCAGTTTTTGTTCAGCACGAACATCCTGGGCGCCGTCGGCTACGCGATTCTTATCGGTGTCAGTAATAACGCCGTGAAGTACTTCGCCTGCTTTGTATGCACTATTGCTGTTTACAATGGAACTGGCCTCAACCTTGCCTGGCTCAATGTCAATATGGCCCCGCAGTGTAAGTATTCCACATTAATCGCGAGTTCCGTTAGCTTACGGAAGGCGTCAAGATCGACGAGCCACGGCCATCGGCATCCAGCAGACTATCGGAAACTCGGCCGGAGCAGTTGCGGGACAGATATACAGGAGTTCCCCCTACTTGCTCGGCAATATCTTCTCTCTTGGTGCCATCTTTGTCGCGGAATTTCTGGTTATGATTCATTGGTTTTACCTGAGAAAAATGAAAAAGGAGAAGAAAGCGATCTTATCTGGTGAGATGGAAGACCGCCGAGAAAAGAGGACCGGAGATCGAGATCCAAATTTCAGATATCGTCTCTGAGCCTCCATTCAGCTAGGATATGCCGCAGCCAGAATTGAGATGCACTGGGATCTATGATCAAAGCTCAATGCGCCGAATATATCCATAGCCCCATTAGGCCTAAAACAATAATATTTACACTACTGCAATTGAGTTAACAAACATTCAATCCAGACTATAACCAGGAAGCTGCCGGATCCACCTTCCACCGTAGATATATAATGATTAATAGTCGCTAACTAGCTAGTGTACCTGCCTTTTAATGTCATTCCGAGAACGCCCATTTTTTCCATCCTTTTCCTATGTGCTTGCTATCGTCGTTGTTATCTTCGATGTCGTTGTCTTCGCCGTCGTCGTCGTCGTTATTATTGTTATTATCGTCGTTGCTACTATCGTTGGCCTTATTATTATTACTATCGATGTTTCTATTGTTTCTATAGTCGTTATCTATAACCTCGATTGAACTTAAGAGGGGTATTAAATACACAGGAAGAATAGCCGCAAAGCTCCAGGGAAAACAGGCGGTCTCGTCGTTTCAACACTAATTAAGTCGCATTGCGTCGTGGGAACCCCGCCATATCCCATAAGCCCGCTATCCAAAAGCGGTGAGATGCTATGTGTTAGCTTGTCGTACTCAGCACTGATTTCCGTGAGTGGACGAGGCGAATCAGCTTTTCCTTTGAACCCTAATTTGTCACCGTATACTTCACATGATGATACAATCGTCGTTGGATAGCTCGGTGTCATACCACGACTTAGCCGACGACTTGATTCTGGCTTCCGGACCTGAAGAATACCGCTGGGCTCTCCGGTGCGTCACTTTGCTGGCTGGATGTAATACTGACGACGTTCGCTGTACTCTGAGGGAGTTCACGTTGGGTTAGTGCAATGGGAAGTACGAGGCGCTGTCGTACACTTGGGGTGATCCGAACGACAGGACTCAGATCTACCTTGACGATCGGCCTTTCAGCGTAACAGCAAACCTCGAAAGCGCGCTGCGTTGCCTTCGCCTGCCAGACACCGACCGAGTGTTGTGGACGGATTCGATTTGCATCAATCAGAAGAATGTTTCAGAGGCCAACATCCAGGTTCAAAGAATGTGGGCTATCTACAAGTATTCCTCGAGGGTAGTTGTTTTCCTCGGAAGGGAGGCGAAAGGCACAACAAGCATTGCTGGGCTACTCAGGAGGCTAACAGTAGATGTCTTGCCAAAAGACTATCGAGCCATCACTTCAATTCTTCAAGATAAATCTGAAGCAGCCTCGTGGAAAGCTTTGGACGAACTTATGAAGCGGCCCTGGTGGAGCAGAGCATGGATCGTCCAGGAATTCGCTGTGAATCGAGAGGTTGTCTTCATCTGCGGGGCAGTTGAGATTCCCGAGAGAATTTTTGGAAGTGCACTTGAAATCCTGGTCGACTACAGTTTCAACGCCATCGTTCCCAAGCCGCTGCAGTACTTCGTCCGGCACATAGCTTCAACCCCCATAAGTCATCTATGGACTGTCAGAAGAGCGTACCAAAAACATGGGTTGGACGAACGAATGCGAGACCCGGCAAATATGCTGTACCGGTTCCGTGGCTTCAAATCTTTCGATCCCCGGGACAAGGTTTACAGTCTTTTTCGCCTCATGGACGAGGACGCTGATCTGAAACCAGATTACAATAAGCGAGTGAAAGAACTTTACAAAGACGTAGTGCGGGTCTCGATCAAGACGTCTGATACTCTTCAGGTTCTGTGCCATCACAATCGAACCATCCAAGGTATACGTGGTTTGCCAACTTGGTGTCCTGACTGGACCGTCATGCGGGGGCGAAGAATACTTTTGTGGCCAAATGGGTATTCCGCAGGGGGCACTGGCACGGCATCTACTCGATTCGATGGCAATAGGTTGTACCTTAAGGGGAAACTCTTGAGCAGGGTTCAGTGGCTGGAGGCCTTTGATTCGGATATGTTCTCAGACAATTCTGTTGTCTTCAGCCGTATTAAAGCTATCGAGACTGAAATATTGAGTCGCTCGGAGGCCCTTTTCGCTGCTGGACAGAAGCTCTGGCCATCTCTGGACTCTTTCCGTGCGACGCTCGTCGGATCTTGAATAAGGAAGAAAGGTCCATCGCAGAAGGCGACTATTCTTAGTTCATCCGACGCTACAAGACTTTACCATGCCTAGTACGAACATACGAGCAACCAGCCTTCAAATGAGTTGCGCGGAGATGCAAAGTTGTACAACGACGCATTGTACAGTGCGCTCTGTGGTCGGTCTTTCTTCTTGACTGAAGACAAGCACTTCGGCTTGGCAGATATCCCAGTTCAGGTCGGTGACTGGGTAGGGGCATTTGCGGGCAGCAGCGTTCTTTTTGCCGTGCGCGAGGCGACAGAGAGTAGCTCGGCGAAGACTGAAAGGCACTTCATATTGGTGGGCGAATGGTAATGAAGACCCCTCCTCACATGACTAATTACTGACTTCCAGAACTTAGCTATTTACATGGCTTTATGAATGGTGAAGCCGTCAAAAATGAGAAATCAGCATCTGAACTGTGTTTTGTTCAGGTCGATTATCACGCCTCTGGCTAGTAGGAAATACTGGTAGCAACTCTGGTCTCGAAACATGGAATTCCACATGGGGGTGAATTAAAACAGTACCGGGTCATTGTATTCCTGCCTATACTTTCAGTGCTCTCAATAGGTTCTCGCAACAAATTCAAAGCTATCCTGCAAATCTCAACTTTTGAAGTGTACAATCCGAATTCGACACTTCAACTTTGAAATCGAGCAAAGCCGTTCTATCGTCATTGCTATTTAGGACCTCTGCCGATCAATGTTGAATGTATCTCATGTATATTCTCCCTTACAAAGCAGAAGATTTCCGACGGTCAAAAAGTTGCAAAAGCATAAGCCTATCCCAAGGTAATCTTGGTTCTTCGCGGTTCACTTTGCCTCCAGCGGTCTTTCAAGACCCGACCGCACCCCACTCTCTGTGCGATCTGGTCGTCCCCTCTTTCTACCCAAAGCACGTTGTAGAACTCGCAAACGGCATCATGTTGCTCTTCCTTCGGCAGCACTAGGTCTTTTTCATACTTCCCATGAAATACAACTTTATACGTAGCTTGATAATACGTCGGGAATTCATCGGCGTTGCCAACCCACCAGCCGTCCTGATCGAAACTGGCGTAAAACATCTTGCCAGAATAATATGGGCTCAAACGAAAGGCCTTCTCTTCGAAACATCGACTAATGTCTCCTTTAGTAGCACTACCTTCTGACATAACAATGAGCTCCATCTTCCGGCCAAGTTCGCATTCCGATATTCCATGTTCTGTGGCTCGAAGGAGGCCAGAGAATGCACCCGCCCGGTCTCGTAGGACGACAACACTTGACAAGGAATCCAGAGGTCTCTCGTTTAAACTGGGTTCACGTGTCGCTGTCATACTGAAGCGTAGTCCGGTGGATGTGCCAGTGAGCCTACAAAACACTAGAATTGCCGCCGGTAGGAAGAAGGCGTGCTCTGTCAGACCTGACAAGCAGCACCACTTTACACTCGACAAACCAGCGTTTTGTCTTAGGTCATTGTTTGGTTTTTCCTGAGACTCGAGTGTATTTCTCTGATTTGAATCCGGCATCAACGACGATGGTTGCGGGGAAAGTTTCTCGAACCAGACTGGCCTGCGCGATTGGATACGGGCTTCCCAAGTTACAAGGCCCTTCAGTTTCCATGATCGAGCTTTTGCGTTCCTTCCTTCGTTCTTCGGGTCGAGACGGAAGCTGGTCTGGAAACTCCACGGATCTATCGGGCATTGCCATCCGCACCAGGACCAAGATGGAAGAGTGACGGTTTTCGTTGATGTACTGATTCTTCTGCGACAACCTTGAAGTGGCTGCCAAAGAAGGGCGTAATCAATAAACACCCAAGGTATGCCGTAAATGAAACCGCCTGGAAAAGCCGGAGCAAGGCGGCTCAAGATACCAAGAAACCCGGATAGACCATCCTTCTGATCAGTGAATCTGCGGGCGTTGTAAGGACAGATCAAGTCTATATAGAGGCCGAAGTCAGGTTTTGACGGTGCGGAAAATCGCTTCGTAAAAGTCAACTTGGACAAGATTAGAGTTGCTTCTCTATTGTCCTTGTCGGGTACAAGATGCTCCATGTCCCAAACTGCGCACTCGCATTGCCAAAATAGCATCACATCGTGAAAGAATATGACTCGCCTGCTGAGAATTGACTCCTGGTAAGTCCATCCCCTTTTTGCCCAGGCTGACTCGGAGATCGCTTCGTAATGATGACTCAAAACTTCTTCATAATTGGGCTGCTGGACATCGACTTGCAAAAGCTTTAGCCCGCCGCATTCTGGAGCACTCATGTTGCGTCGGTACTCGGGTTTGTCCAGGGTTGCCGTGGTCGTGCTAAAAAGTCCATGAGTTGCTGCCGCAACTACAGTAACGTATGCACCAGAATATACTTGGTCCATGCTCATGACCTCCTCCATCATTTCCGTCTCATCTTGGTCCTGAATGATGCAAAGTCGGTCCACCCACAAATATCTTAGACCAAGCAGCTTTGTCAATTGAAACGCGTCGAGAATGACCTTAGGGAGGAGGCCTTCAGTTAAATGAAGTAACGCTCCAGACTGTGTCAGAGATGACAAGTTCGATTGAAGTAGCTGAAAGACCACACAAGTCTGTGGCACTGCATCGCGAGCAGACACCCGGTCCATTTCCGAGGGCCAAGATTTATGTTCCCTCCAAGTATAGCTGAGAGCAACATAACGATGTCCGCTACTTCCCGGAACAATGCAACCTCCTTCTATGTCGACAAGCCATGTGGGCGTTTTCTTCGGTTTATGTTCTTTCAGAGGCGCTTGATCCTTCCAGGCTAGCGAAGGAGTGTTGACATAGAACTTCATCCTCAGGACAGTTCTTGCCCACCTCATAAGCTCACGACGGCCTCGGCGAAAAGGATTCTTATCTGTGTGATACTAACAGGTTACTTCTACTGCGACATCATAGTATGAAAGGAGGAAATTGCTTTCTGAGACGACTGTAAGGTAAACGATGGGAAGACTAACTGGTCCTTCGGCGAACACATGTGTGCTGATCGTCGCAGGTTGCCAGCCATTTTGAAACATGTTGAACAATAGCCCCACTGCCTTCAGTAGAATTATGCGGTGCCATTGTTGCGTTGGGTTAAGTGGTTGAGGTAAATTGAAGATATGTTTGCGCGAGTGAGCTGTGTTGGACTTCGATAGAAACACTGAGGGTACAGACAACGACGCCAGACGACAACAAGTCCGAAGTTCGCGAACCGTTTGTTCTAAATGGGAATATTCACGTCAGACCTTACTCGAGCAGACGCCTCCAATTTATCAGATTGGACAACAAACCAGTCAGCACCCAATCTGCCCGCATCCGGGGATGTGCGTGCTGCCGTTCCCCTCGCCGGCCAATGACAGTCCAAAAGTCCTCGGTAAGTCGGTGCAAGCCACACGTAGCGAGCATGAAAATGGACACCGATTTGTCCGCGCGAGGTCCCCTAGCCAAGCCGAGTCAACCCCGCCTTTTTTTGCGCCGCGGATAATGACACCAGGCCAAAGGGTTGCGGCTTGAATGGTACAAGAGGTATGAAACCTCAGGAGTGCTATGGTATCCCATGCATTTGGGTCACATACTAGTGTATGGAATGGAACTAACAAAGAGTTGGTCTTATCATCTGATGCCACTGCGCAGAATGGTAACCCATCGGAAACCGCCATGTCGCCAAAGAGTTCACGCCGAAATTTCATCATGATTGGTCGATATTAAATCATCCCCACCATCGGTTGAATCTGAGAGCATTGAAGCTAGCAAACGAACGGTGGTACATGTGTTGGCAATTAGATTGTGATTACGTGATAAGCCTAAAGAAGGTGTCTCTCATGTGGCTGTTCAATGGTCTCCGAAACGTGAGACAACAGATTACCCTATCCCGTTGCCCAGAACGACTCACTGTGCGTTGAGCATACATAGAACTGTTACCTGGTATATTATGGGAGTCTTATAGGATGGATCCGTGCAGCTATCGGAACCTCATTGAATAGTCCATCGAATGCTTGCCTCGGAAGTATTGCGAACTACGAAGACTTATGCCTCTGCCTACCCTCCGCTTAGAGCTCCGTCGTCACCACCACGAGCACACACCTTCCCAGCTCAAAACACGTCTTGACACCTCAAGCCCAACCAACCCATGCTTTCATGCCATAGACCGTTGTCTAGAAGTGCACAACTGCGCACTCAAGTTTAAGTGGTTTTCCGACGAGCCAAGAGCACCAGTCTCCTGACCTGTGAGCATCGCCTGAAACTCTTGCTGACGGAGCTTCACAAAATGACAAGTCATCTCCCCAGATATGAATATAACACCAAAGATGTTCTTGCGAAGTCTCCATTATTACGTTGCCTCAGGGTGGGTTAAACATGCAGTGAAAAAAGCCCTTGTACATGTGAGACGGGCCTGGCTGGTGGTTTGTTCTGCGTTCTTTTACTGAGGGGGCTTAACATTTGTGGCCCTTTTCTTTCGCTTTTCTCTCGAAGCAAACAAATGCGACCCATGGCAAACAAAACCCTCAAGCTCACGCTGAGGCTCTGCACTCTACAGCAAGACACCCATCCTCCCTCTCAGCAAGCCACACCCATCCTTCCACCCGTCGCCCAACACCAACCATACCTAGCTACCCCGCTGCACAATCCCGCATCTCCAAAGAGCGCATCTGCGCGCCCCCAAAAAGCCAAGCCCGCCATCCCATTGGCCCCTCGTCCCAAAATGCTGACCGCAGCCTGCCTCGGACGCCTCATCAGACGGGGCAACCCAGCAGTAGGCAAACCTGCCTCCCGCTCGCGAAGTCCTGCATGAGTTGCCTACCTCGTGCCGTGCTATCTGAAGGTGGTGTGTAGTGTGCAACCCGCAGCTCGCAGCCAGCAGCCACAAACAAAACAACACTCTCTCAAATCACGAATGGCCAGATAGTCAAACACGCACAAATGTGCGTCCAAGAAATCATACCCTCTCATAACCACAACACAACACACCAAGAACCGAATGGGAAGAGACTCGGCCTCCGGCGCTGC